TCAACTTCCCTTACTTATGCAGCAATATAAGTTTATCACCTGCATACGGAGTCTATATATAGATTCGATACACAAGAGCATGCTCTATGTATGAACAATTTCTAAAACGAGGTAAATTATTGACAAGCAAGTTGATGAAACAAGAATATCAGCAGTCTCGTTTAAAGTCATCATTTCGTAAGTTTTATGGTCGATACAATGACCTTGACAGCAAATACAATTTATCATTGAGTCAAATGCTGACTGACGTTTTTCATACTAATTGTTAGTCCATTATTTATACACTGAATTGATGACGGATTTTCACCTCTGATGTTTCGGAGGTCCGTGTTTGCTCTGCTCCTGTTTTGTATTGTTTAATGGACTTTGAGATTGAATTCTGTTCGTTATCTCCATATCCTTATTAAGCCACCTTTCTCTCTCCCTCTTCCTCCCTATCTCTCTCTCCCTTTCTTTTAAAGAAGAATGAAGCAGAACATCACAAAGGAATCACCTAATATTTAATAGCAAGGGTGCAAATAAGCAAGGGAAAATTCAGGGATTTTAGAGTGTTAAATTTCTGGTTTTGTCCAGCATCACTTCTATGTACTGACTATGCCGAACGTTGTCCAACACCCTGTTTTGCGCACTGATTTCCCCTTACCATCCCCTGCATTGCCATGCGTTGCACTCCCTGTCTTCTACTGCCCCCTCGTCTTCCCCCGATGCCATCCTCCTTGCCCTACGCTATCTCTCTCTCTCTCTCTCTTGCATGTAGTTCTCTCTCTCCCCCACCCCCTCTCTCGCCTTGCTTTTCAGTTTCCTTAAGTCCTCCTTCGCCATACAGGGAAAGGAAGTAAAGCTGTGAGTTATCCGCTCTGTACATTAAACAAGAGTTTGTTTGCAGTTTAATTTAGTGTTAACACAGTTGACATCACAGCTGAATCAGGAATTTATTAACGCATTCCTTAATTCGCCTACTCTCTCTCCTTAAACCATTGAGCTATTTAAAACAAAGCTTTTAAAACCTAATAAGGAGTAGATATAAGCGTGAATTGCTTTTCAGAAATTATTTTCTTCCGTCGGCGAAAAACTCTCTGCATTGTGAGAAGTTTAAGTTTATTCTTTAACGAAAACTATTAAAACACTTTTAAACTTTAAACTGAACCCTTTGCATGGTGAAGTGTTTTTGTTAATTCCTTTAAGAAAACTATTAAGCAGATTGTTATGATGCTTCAAATGACGTTTTATTTTAAAAGATGGGCGTCATTATATGTTTTTGATCCTCTTTGTTGATTGTTTTTCTTCCTGGATTTGAAGAATCGTACATCACATCCCTCTGCAAAACTGTAGGGACAAAACCACCAGTTATAATTTGCTGAAAAGCAAAATTTAATTCCCATTGATTCCAGTAATTATGTGATGATCGAGGGCCGGTATATTGGGGGGCCCATACATGCCTTTCTTCCCAATGCATCATAGCCACATAATTTTCAAAATGATTTATTTTAATTCTCTTTAAAATGATTGAAAGGAACGATCATTTATTCCTTTATTTTCGTTTTTCTTTTTCGCTGACATAATGGCTCATTAATAACAAAATATTTTAAAAGCAGACACCCATTTGAAAGAAAACACGGGGGAAATGATTGCCTGAGCAACTCTTAAAACGAACTGGGATAGGATGAAATTGATGAATTAAAGTAACCAAAAACACTGAAAAAAAAATGTTTATTCCATATTTTTTGGAATTTTCTAAATTTGCATATTTTGTAAATGTGCACTTTTAGAAGGACCTTCTTTTAAACACCTTTTACATGTTTTAAGAACATAAAAAAGATTAAGGTTATAAAGTCAATTTTTTTAAAGAATTCAAACGAAATTAAAATCGGTAAATTTACTTTTTATTAAAATTTCAAAGCGTATTACATATCTACAATTACGTATACAGCAGGTACGGCGTTCTTCTTATTGAAGTGAACTCCCATGTGGAATAATGCTATCTTACATTCGTTAAAGGGTATCACTTATCGACTGGCACTGGTGCAGGCCCGTTGTGCAGTGTAATATGTCCCTCTGATAGGCGTGAACTCACATAACTTTATGATTTTAAGTGATATATTGAATTTCGCCTTGCTGGTGTACACGCGGAGGGTGGTGATAAGGTTCGCTGCCCGTGTAATATGAACCCCAAAGTTAAAATGAAATAATTTTCACATCGAGAAACATGAACAGCCCCAATACTGACACATTCGTGCCGAATACACACACATTCCTATTTTATGACGGATCTGCCCCAAATTAAAACTGAGGACTCAAATCGTTTGTTGTGGTTTAATGGTATTTTTAAAATACAAATCAGCATACTTTACATGCCCCCGTTTCCTGGGCTATAAATCTGGATCCCATAAGAATGCAGCGATTTTAATTTCGTTTGAATAATTAATAATTGCTTGTAACGGGGCATAAAAAGTGCATTTGAATATTTCCCATGTTACTCTTTTATGAAGCGTAATACTCCAATGAATTTGATTTTCTATCCTACATTGAAGGGTGTGGAATTTTACCGAGAGTGCAAACACTTTATTTGATTATTGAAGCGCTGAGTGTTGCCATGATTAAAAAAAAAAATCAAAAACGTATTTGCATATAAACATAATTAAACAAATAAACAAACAAAATATCGTCAAGAGTATGCCATAATAAGGGTCCTAATCAGACCTGATGTCTTAACTTGATATTCATTTATTTTTTATATAATAATTTATTGCCTCTCTCTAACAAATTCTATCTATGTTATAATATTTTTTTTTCAATATCATTGTCCATAGGACACGAATGCTCTGTCCAGAGTTCATTGATAACGCAACATGAAATGTGTTTTAATGTAAAAAATCTTGAATAGTTTCTTTAAAGCTAAGGTTAATACACCATACATGTATTAAGGTCACTCGGACGTTCAAGGTTAAATAATAGAAACATTAGATAAATTCTCACCAAAAAGTACATAGTATTACAAGTGTAAGTGTTCATAAAAATACCTTGAGTTTATTATTCACTTTTTTTTTATTTATTCAGTATATATATTTTGAAAATGAGCTAAACACAAACTTTTATAAAAACAAGGTCAAGGTAAAGAAAAGGACAGTGCCAAAACACGGTGATAAAGTGGCATAGATGTTCTCAATATATGTTAACATATAAAATAGAATAAAAATATATTGACTCGTTTCCATAAAACCTAGGAAAAATAAATTTGACAAAAAGTGTGGTCAAGGTAAAATGAAAGGTCACTGTTAAAAATATAACTTCAATGGAAAAGCTAGCATCAATATGTACAATGTACATGTATAAGCATATGATGTATTTGAATAGTTTCTTTGAAATTAAGATGAAGATAACCTTGAGATCAAGGTCAAAGTAAGGCAATGTCTAAAAAGAGATTTAGTCGAAGAAGTCTTGTAAAATTGTATCAGCATATGATGTTTGGAAAAAAATATCTTAGAAAGTTTTTTTTGAAAATAAGCGTTATGCTACTTTAAGAAACGTAAGGTAAAGATCAAAGGGAAGGTCAAGGTCGAAAACAGTTGTGCATGCGCAGTTGAACAGCTCTGGTCAGTAGTATAAACACAATGATAAAAATATATCCGGATTTTTTTTTCTTCATGAAACTGGTGAGCTTTACAAAAAACAAAGAAATGTAAGTCAAGGTCAAACAAATCAAGGTCAATTTTTTGTGCACTTGATTAGTTTTTTCAATATGATTTGATAATATATATTTCTGTTTTTTTTTCTCTGTGATAACTCTTTAAAAGTTAACGGAGTTGATTTAATGATAATTCTACCGGAATGTAAATTAGGCAGGTCGATAGGTCAGGAGCTAAGGAGGCCTAATATGCATGCAAATCTCGTGCGCATCTGTCTCTGTGTCTGACGCTAAGGAGGCCAAATATGCTTGTAAATGTCGTGCGGCTGCCTCAATGGGCAAGGACTATTGAAATTGGCATGGGAGTCCTCGTGTAATTTAAATCTGTGTCTACATTTTTAAAGTCTAAATCTACAATTTATTTATTTCACAATGAAATGAAAATATAAGGAATCACTGTCTAGTTAGCATAGTATTCCAGGGACATCAACGATAGTGGGAAACATGGGATAATTTTTGCATGACGGGCTTCGCCCGTTATGCAAATTATCCCATGTTTCCCACTATCGTTGATGCCCAGGCATACTATACTAAGTAGACAGTGATTCCTTAAATATATTTATTTTGAAGAATTTCTTTAAAACGAAGCTAAACGCCAAAAAAAAGGGGAAGGATTAAGGACGGAAGACGGACAAGACATAAACTTAATGCCCCGGTCATATTCCATAAAAAGTGTATTTATTACTTATTACTTAATATGAAATAATTGTCTTTTAAAAATCCGTCTACCACTATGTCAGTCTTAAGATTACAATTATAGCCAAGACATACCAAAAATAAAATCTCAAATACGATTCTTACATTATATGATATTATTTTCAGACAATCAACCAATAAGCGACCTTTTCTTATAAAGAGCAAGGTCCGTGCAGGACCAGACAATATTGAAGTTGTACATGTTAATTGTGTCTTTCTATCATATTTTTCGCCGTGAAATGATTTTATTGTGGTCTACATATCCAATATATCTCTTCATGTGGCGATCACAAAGCCCATTTCTGCGAACCTTTTACAAACGTAGGAGAATACGTATTGTCATCTCAATAAATGATGAATAAAACGTATACCAGAATTTCTGTAGGAAAAAATTACCCTTCAAGCAACCACGTAACGCACTTGTAGGCATTGGCTGATAATTAATAATGAAAACTCACTAATATTCACAATGCTATATAAAGGTCATGCAAAAACCTTGTCCATTTTATTTACTTTTCATTATTTATAGTAACAATAAGAAAATCCCGCGAGCTTACTATGTGTGAATCATGAACAAGTATATACGGAGGGCTCCTATGACGCGGTGCTAAGTGCGCGTAGTCAGTTCCCTGTATATATACCCCACAGAATGCCGCATAATCCTTCATTGCTCTAATGTTTTACAAAACATCGACATCTTAAAAAGCATCAGTTATCGGTAAGAAAGGACCGCAGAGTGATTGGTGATTTAATAAACGTGCGCTGGTCCGCGAAGACGCACAACTTTAAAGGTGTTGGCGAGAAAACTAGCATTTACATTTAAAGTTTGGATTTTTGACGTAAACGTTGTATGTAGGAAGTGAAAAAAATATAAGACCGAGAGGAAAATTTAATAAAACTGGGGGTACTTGACCCGATAGTGTTTTGATTGGTCGCGAGAGTCACTAGTGCTCGCAAGGAATATAAAGGCTGTGACATTATTGTATCGTCATGTGAACGGGCCATCATGCTACTACTGTCGCCATGGATTCAGTGCTGATGTGGCTCTTAGTATTTACTATGCTTCTGGCCGTGCAAGTCAAATCTGTCCCGGTACAGAACAACAAATCAGGACCCAAGACACGAACGTTCAGCGGCCAAATTCAGAATCAAATGTCTCAAGTGACAAAAATTGAATCTGAAAATATGGAAAAGCCAAGGGACGCTTATGTATACAATCGTGTTCAGTTAACGTTACCGTCTTCCGACAAAAACTCCGTGCTTTCACAAACAGACACACTGACAAAGTCTTCAAGGAGACACCGACGGTCTTCCATTTTTTCAAGGTCAATAGTGGTACAGGAAATTCATCGTAACAGTCATTTAACAGACTGCACAGAATGGGAGAATCGCAGCTACTGCCATAACGGGGGAAAGTGTGCTTATATTCCCAAACTAGACCTTAAAACATGCAGGTTAGTGTGTCAAAGACAAATGTCTTCAAACTTTTGTTCTTGGTTTGATGCCCTTAAACCGATAAATTCAATCTCCTTTCTCTTAAATGATGTTAATTTCATTACTCTGTTTATCAGATTGAAGTGTAGTATAACCCCTTTTGAAAGCTACTAATTAAGACAAGAGTTGTTTGGTTCAGGACTTTCTTTAATAATTACCAATAAATGACATAATGGATTCATCTAAACGAGATGACACCACAATGATGTCTTATATCCTTACAATTCCATTATAACTCATTAACGCAACATTACTAATTTCCGGTTTCGTACGGTGGGGCGGGGCACCTTAAGACGGCCGATAAAGAGCTCTTTCAAATTTCTTGTCGCTTCTGACGTTTGTCTCCTTCGTTAGCTGAATAACGGTCATCACTTAAGGTGCTCTGCTCCTAGACTTTGAGTTCTGTGTACAATGAGATGAAAGAGAAATCGGTGACACCAAAAATCAACTTGGGACAAGAAGCTTTCAAGAAGTATATTTAGTATGCTGCTATCCTTTTAAAAATCTTAATAAAGCGAGAAATTTCATGAGTGCACCTACTTTATTGAAGACCTAAAAATTATAAAATCAAGTGGAAATGTGGCCAAAAAAAAATTAATAGATTTTTTTTTAACCAAGTAGTTGTGAACAAGTACTTCACACTTTATTTACTACATGTAATAATCAAGAGCTGTTATAACGAAGGCAGTATTTCCACCTTCCAGTTATTATGTATATTACTCTTGAAAACATAAGAAAAAAAAACCCCGAAAATCGTTTAGTTGTTTTTTATCTTTGGACCATCTGTGGTTAAACTGTTTTTTTTTTATTATTTCAAAAAAAAAAAAAAAAAAAGTATGACATATGGTAGGAGCAGGTGTAAAGATAAAAAGGAAAAACAGTTGATCGACTCAGATGTTTATATATTTACAAACAGGCACGATATCTACTTAAGAAATCCTTGTAAAACACTTAAAACAACGAGGCTCTGTTCACTTTTATTGTGCATGCGGTAACATAGAGGGAAAGTATAAATAAATTATAACAGTCGATACAACACGTTTCCTTTTGTTAATAATTCAAGTTGTACGTCCATTCTAAGATTTTCCTAAAAATATTAAGTGTAAGTAGACATACTTCTTTAAATATCATTTGCGTATAATGAATAATAATTGATAAAATTCTTCTTAAGATTACAAAAAGCGAGCACATCATAAAACCCTGACATTCAGTAATAGAAATAAAGAATTGATTCCAGTTGTAAAAATACCATTCACACGAGGGTCAATAAAATACAAGTGACATTTTTTTCTTTGTTTGCATCTTAATGGGCCCATGAGAACAATAATAATTAAATACTGATGGATTTTTCGTTCGCATTCTAAAAAATCCCTAAGTTAAAAGAGAAACAAGTCCCAGTCAGAATATAGTATATCCGTAATACCAAATATGATTCTAAATTTTCAAATAATTTTTAAAACGTCTATAAAAGAATCCCAGCAAAGAATCTTCTTAAAAAGTCCTTCGGTTTCCAGTGATGATAGCAAAAAATTCAGAAAAACTTATTGAACGAATTTTGAGAAATAATATATAAAAAATCAAATGACAATGCGCAGTATAGGGATTTCTAAATGGTTCCTATATGACTGTTCTACGCGGGGGTGTTTTGTTTTAAGTGTCCTTTCTCCCAATCTGGCGTAAGATGTTCTCTTGACGAAGATCAAAGAAATCAACTGTTACACACTCACATTTGTTTAAGTGTTCGGCTGTTAATTCTTTAATCTTTGACGAAAAAGGTTCATGGATTATCGTGGATGAGAAAGGTCAAGGTTGAACGAGACTGGGGCACTTAACACATTCTGTATTTGCGTTGTATTGACGAACATTTGTCTTAATTCATAAGCATTTCATGCTAAAACAATTAATTTACAGAAATGCAAAATATGACTTTTCTAAAAGTTCATCATTGAACAACAAATATTGGCCTATAAAAATTAAAAACAGTTAAATGTCACCAACTCATTAGAAATACCCAATCATGGCAATTAAATAAAATAAGTATAACACGCTTATAGCGAAGTGCAACGGACAAACAATTATGATTTGTTATACATGATGTTGAATTGTAATATCATAAAGTTAGCGTGTTTAACTGTAAATTCAACATGTGTGACAACATCGTTCATTTATTTTGATGTCACCACAATTAATTAATTTGCTACCTAGGAGCCAATTAATAAAACAAAAATATCTATTCATTAAGACCTGTACATGGAAACCAAGGTTTTAAGCCAGTATGTCACATGAGAAAATAAGTGTCTGAATTTAAAGCACAATGCGTATAGATAAAAATAATTTATGATAAAGTGTCTGTTTAAAGAAACCATCTTCTTCTTCTAATTTAACGTGAATATATCTCGTTCTTTTATTCTTAATCTACAAAAATTCAAAGAGCAGCCGAGATGCATGGGAAAATGGCATACTACACAGATTCTTTTGTTATACTTGCGAATGTTTAAGATTGTATAATATGCATTCTGACATAGCTTCTCTAGTAAACCACTGTTATGTAACACGCCTGTCACAAGAAAAATTGTACTAGTTTCTGCCGCTAACTTGACGTTTATTTATGAGCTGCTGACGGTTCACCATTTTTTCTGCCTCTTGTAATTGATTAAATAGGTTTTTTGACAAAACCACAATGAAACAGTTGCATTCCAGGAATGTGCAAAAATGCAGCAGTTCTTTGGTTTTTTGGGGCTTTTAGTGCACACTTCCTTAAATCACCTCGGTGATTCTAATCAAAGTAGTTTCAAATGTTAAGATTTTAAATCATATCTGAAAAGGGGGTCTTTTATTTCATAAACTGCATGATGTGTATATAAAACTGTTTATAAGAAAATTGTTTTTACCGAATCAAACAGGAATGAACTGGATGGTCTCCCCTGTAAAAACTTTACTTAGGGTACATGTATCATAGAGGGTGCTATTTCTATCAGTATCAATTACACGCTTAAAGCACTAATATACAAAAAAACTTAGTGCTGACTCTGTGGTAGGTCCAATGTTTATGACGTCATAAAAAAATATGAAGACAAAGCAAAAAAGATAATAAAATAATGACTTCTCGTTACGCCTGTGGATAAATTGTTTTCAGATTGGCTTCTCTAATACCCCCTGAACAAGAGCTTTAGTCGCTTCTGACGAATACGGGACATTTTTTGTCCAGATATCGTTATCAACGAGATCCAAACCCGCGATTGCTTCAGCCAATTTGCTTCTTCTCTTGTAACATATGGTTCTCTTGAGCCGATTTTTTTCATTTCTTTCAAACACATGGAGTGAAGAATATTTTCTAGGAATGTGTGCTTTGTGTACATTGAAAAGCATGCTCCTTTCAATAGAACAATCATATAACACTGACTCTATGGGGCATGGAAAATGTATTTATATAATTTATCATAGTGTAGCCGATATTTGCATTAAAATACGTAAAACCCTAATAAATAGACAGTTTGGCAGGGCTTCATTGGGTCGGTTATTACAGAATAATTATTATTGTGTATTTGCGTGACTAATTCAGTCTCCTGGAGACTGAAACTTATTCTTCATCACAACTTTTGTGGGTGGTCATTTTAATTAAGCCCAATATGTTCAGCGCAAGTCGAACCCAGCATCAAAGCACACTATTAATCATTATCTCCGTTGTAATCTAGCAGGCGCTTAAAACATTTAACTGACATCGAGCAGCTAGTCGCTCAGAAAATACAGATTATGATATTAATACACGGTAATAATATTATTATCGTAACAGTCGCGCTTTATGTCCCGTCCTCATGTAGCAATCTTCAAGGTTCAAACGTTCTGGTCGTATAACACATTCCGTATTTTAAGTTTCTCCAGCAGCAAAAAGTGTCTAATTGTTCCTTATCTGAACATAAACTGACATCCGGGGACTTAATCAGCGCCCTCTACCGTTTTGATGATTTCCACGCATAAACTTTGCCCCCTAAGTTTATCATTAGATAAGGGTAGGTTATGTAAGAACAATTCAAAACGAGAACCTGCAGCATGCCTGAAATTAGTAAAATTCCAGACGTTTGATTGGGTGACAAGAGGGTCAGGCTATTCACCGCGTACTTAAGTTTTTTGAACCTTTAGATAAGGACAAAGTACTATTTGGGGAAATATAATTAAAGAATGTTCTAAAGTGAATTAGCCGTCAGAAGAGTTAAGATAAGATTTATCCTTAAAAAATCAAAGACAAAAAAAAAAAAAAAAAAAAAAAAAAAAAAAAAAAAAAAAAAATGATTTGCATTAATGAAAAGAATCAGGATGAAGATTGGTTGATTAGAATTTTTACTGTATGAAAAGCAAAATGAAGACATAAAAGAACCCACGGAGTTAACTAAAGGAGATATTTATCGTGACATGTTCTTTTTAAAGATTAATGATCAAATTATGAATATCATTTATCATCAGTTATATCTATTGGAATTTCTTTCTCTCGGAATTAATTTCCTTTTTTTAAAAAAAATAGATTTTAAAAGGTCCGATTATATAGAAGTTCTTTTTATTGAGGTATAAATTTGGCTTTCATGGTTAAAACTGCTTAATTGGGAGAGTACTGTATATGATAAAAACATCCTACATGTACATGTAGTTCAGAGGACCCAATAAATTTCCATTAACATCGACTAAATGCCTAGGTTGTACATGAAACACAGTTACATAAGTTCATTCTAATTATCGCAGAGGAAGGTGTTTAAGTAGGGTTTATAAGCCGCACGGGTTAATGATGAAATATCAGAACATTTCTCTTCCTTTACAGGAAGACGAACATTTAAAAATCTGATTCTTCACTTTGATAATTTTCAAACGTGTCATAATGCACACGTCAGTCTTTAAATTAAGATCAGTTTAACTCAGAGAGACCCAAATTTTTGACTTATTTTTTATTGGGGTCATTTGCAGGTCAGATTGTGCTGATATGAAAGAAAACCAGGAAGAAAAAGAAATAAAAACAATCAACTGAATAATTACCACGATCATATTTTTTTTCTTCAAACACGAAAAGTACATGTACAGAACGATATTCAGAATTTTCTTAAACAAGATACTTAAATTTTATAAGTTGTTCCTTTAATTCTTTATGTGCACTTCAAAAACAGCCGTATGCATGACGCAAACTAAACTTTGTACTTGATTACAGGAATTAAAATCCCAATATGTAATAATTTCTTTTAATGAATGATTTACCAGACGAAAAATGAACAAGCGAACCTTCTCTCTGATTTATTCAATTGAAAGACGTTTGCTTATTTTAATCAAACTTTGGAAGTAATGCACAAAAATGTAACTTGGGACAGATTTTACTGGCTTTATCAAAGTATTACGTGGATTATAGTATTCTTGAGTTTTAGCTGTCACATATAGGGCCGTATAGTTCATATGCGTATAATAAATTCATATTCAAAGCAAAAGTTAATTTCAAAAAAAGTACAAAGCTTTTTTCTGAATTTCTATTGTCATTTAATTTTACGCCCACTTCCATATATCTTAAAAATCCTGGATCCTTCCCTGCGTTACAAAAATGCAAAAAAAAGAAAATTATTCATCTTCATAAAAAAATCTGCACTTCTGAAGTAAAACCTGCATAATTAACAACTTTTGAATCATCCGCATAAAATTTTGATAAAAAAGATGAGTTGGGGGGTTGCTCCTTTAAAGCGACCCGTTAGTCATGATAAATCGGCGGGGGTCTCTTGGAAATTTTGATAATTAGGTGACTAAGAAGTTCTCCCTCTCTAAGATCACAGGGGAAACGGAGGCTCCGACTAAAACTACCAACACATGAGGCGAAATCTGAAGTTGCCACTTACCAAAAAAAAATATTATAATTAAAAAAACTCTGAGAAATTTGCTCAGTTTCCAAATATAACCAACGTCTTAAACGAAAACAAGCTCTTTCCCTCTGTTTTTCATTTTGATTTCACTTTATAGAAGTTAATTTGTTTTGGATTTTTTGGAAAGTACCGTTAATCAAAACGCAAAAGAAATTTATGACTTCAACACAATTATTTTAATACTTGACGTTTTATCTATTTTTTTTTAATTTAAAATTAAATTACCTATGCATATTTATATTTATGTGTTTTTGACATTTTTAGAGATATCACATATATTTACATGTGAGATATGTATATTTACAGGTGAGCTATATATATATTTACAGGTGTCCTATGAGCTATACGGGGTCTCGCTGTGAGATTTTTGACCTTCAGTTTTTCATGAGTCAAATGACCGCCTTCAATCCAGTAAGTATACATTGTATATATATATACAGTATATATACAGTATGTATATACATTGTACATTTTGTTTACATGTTGTTACTCCATACTGTCCAGAATTGTTCGTTACAAAATTTTATACTCCATACTTTACAAAATTGTTAATTTCATAATTTCCAAAAGCCTTAATTTCAAAATTTAATTTGCTACACTTTCCAAAATAGTTAATTTTAAAATTTAAAACTACTATACTTTCCAAAATACTTAATTTCAAAATTTAAATCTACTATACTTTCCAAAATAGTAAATTTCAAAATTTTTATCTATACTTAACAAAATAGTTAATTTCAAGTTTTAAGTTTCTGGTAGAAAAATAGCGATTATTTTAAAATATAGAAAAAAAATGAATAGCCTTTCTTTTAAAGTGAAGGAGAAAATTTCCAGATAGCTTATCGAACGATCTTAATTGCGACTGGGCTTGTAAATTAAAACTCGAAAGCGACTTATTTAATACAGGGATACAAAATCAAAAATTCTACTCCTTTGAGAAATTAATCCTTAATATGCATATCCTTGATCATGCAAGAGGTTTTATAAGAAAATACCATCTCTCTCTCTCTCTCTCTCTCTCTCTCTGATGGATATAGAAGCAAAATGGGTAAAAAATCTTGGTTAATTTTTGTAAGAGTGAATTCAAATATAAACAGGATATTTAAAAAAAAGGCTTTTTACACTTGTTGATATAATTCGGGTTCGGGGAAGTAGGGGTGTCTTTTCATACACAGAGTTATATTCACTTGTGACCGTTCTCTCCTCGTCCATCCTTTTTGTTTTCCTACTGTATCTGCCAAAAACTTTAATCTCTATACATTGTAAAAATTATCGAACAATTGACTTTTTTGAGAGTTCTTGAGTTTTGGACAGACGTTCATCCCAAATGTTTATTATACTTTATCAGAATTCCCATAAAGAAATAAAACATTTTTTTTTGTTACTGACGTAAACTTGAAGAACTTTATCAATAATTCTCCATTTTGTTTGAAAATAAATATGACATAATCAGTAAGGCAGTGTAATTTATTAGATTTATGTCGTCATTATTAAGTAATACTACCATAAAGAACCGTCCGCTACTGGGGAAAAAATCTCTCTCTTTGATTAGTAATCTCAACAAAAACAAATATTAATTATACCTGGGCGAATAGCTGTTTTCTCGGATATGCTCACATAAAATATACCCCCACATAAAACATACCTCGTTTTCTACATTTTAACTAAGAACGAAGAGAGGGAGTAAATAGCGATTGTCTTGCATTCAGTAATTAATTTTGCTTGTCTTATTAATTTATAAATCAATGTGATGATCAAACCTAAGGTGTAAATTAAAACTCTTCTTGATAACTCATTTGTATAAAACTACCGGTAATTAGCATTTTAGAACAACCTACTTAATATAGTGTCGCCATAGAGATATATACTTCCGGTGAATATTTTACGTCATTTACCAGCATTACGACATATGAGTCTTAACGTTTGCTTTACATTTTAATCCTTAAATTTTCTCATTTTGTATGAAATGAAGTCAGATTTCGGTCAATTGCATACATTTACTTCACTTTTGAAACCCAAGAAAATTTTCAATTTAGAAATTTATAGGAAAAGAAATGAAATCAATCTCGCATTCTGTTCTTTTTTTCAGTTTATGTTTAGTGGTTAAAGGAAATATGGGAAAGACAAACAGACTTTGTGATAGTGCTGGACATAATGCACGAACAACGAGAGTTCGCCTGTCCGTCATCGAACTAGGTCATCCAAAAATCGAACACGACCAGAAAGAAACATCTCCACCCAAAGATTTTAACGGTGACCGATCTTCCATTTTTTACCTTGCCATAAACTCTGTGTGCATTTTTTCCATATGTTAGCCACTATGGAATACAACCACGTGCAAAACATTAACTTCAAAGGTGTTTTGCAAAGAAGAACACGGGAGAAACAGATTTGGGCTCGTGCAAGTTGAACGAAAGAGCAGCATGTGTGCCTCGGTGGTTTCGTGCTTGCAAGTCATTAACCCGGCCTGTATGAAAACAGGAGTATTCTAATTACTTAAAACAAAACAGATACTTCAATCGCGAACAGTAAACCCTTCCGAATCCAAAGAAGATTGCGGGGAATCCAGTGTCTGTAGCTATATTACTTCGCCTGTTAATCCGACTAGAACTACGTACAAGCTATTAAGTCAAGGGGCTACTAATAAGAAAACCAGCTTTGGGAGTCAACGCTTTGGATATTATGATTTATTGAAATAGAAGAAATTAGTTTTTTGGCAGAGGATACAAAGAAAAGAGCATTTCCCAACAAAGCTTGGTTTCATCTCAAAGTAGACAATTATATTCTCCTGTTGAACTTTGAATCCAAGGGGGAAAGTGCAATCTTTGACAAATACAGAACATACAGATCCATGAACTTGATTTTAATTAATAAATGTCAATGGAAATCATTTATAACTTTATTAATCACTATTTTGGCCAGATGCTTCGTCTCTGTTTAACAGATTCTCTCTGTTTGTTCCGAACCACCTTTCAAGGCGTGTTCGAATCGTCATTTCAATGTCTGTGATAAATCCCTCAAATGAATGTTTGAATGGTTGAACAATTTCATTATCCCCAAGTTTAATTGGTGTTCAAGCGTGTGAGATTCAATGTCCATTCATTTCATTCTAAAACCCAGAGAGGTTGATTCATATCCCTACAATTTAATATATCATTAATCTGAATAAAGCCCTCCAGGAGGGGCATTAAGTCTGTATTATATACCGGTGTATAAAAAAGAAGTAAAATATATATATATATTAATTTGGCTAGAATTATTGGCCAGACGTTTGAAAATGTCAAATTTAATATATTGCGACATTGTCTCCTCTGACATTCAACAGATACAGAAAAAAAAGTCTTTGTCGGGGGGGGGGGGGGGGGGGGTTGTGGGGGAGTATCTCCCTTCTAGAACATGGATAAAAATAAGAATGAAAAAGAAGAGGATATTGACCTACATTTTTGTCTTCAAGGTCTATTTTTTTCATCTATTAATCATTTTTTTTTAAAAAGGTAACACTTAATAATTTTGTATTTTTTTTCTCCTAAAAAATGCAATTGATAAGAATAAGAGATGAAAAAAAGTTTGACAATGTATCATATATTTAGTGGGTCCTATAAAAAATTAATTTTTTGTTAGATAATATGTTAATTCTTCATTTTTCATCGAAAGTCTGTGTAAATGTATGGCGAAATTACACACATCATATCAATATACATGCTGGTTAAATATGACATACAATGAATGGTTGTTATTTATTATTGTGTATAATTTATTAAGAATGTATATGACATGTCTGATTGTACGTGTATTTGTTTGTGAGGGTGTGTTTGTGTGTGTATCTATGAGAGAAATATTTGTTATTGTTCCTAAATTTTTTTGTTGAATATCTTAATTACGTTTCAGCATAGCTGGAAAGAAAATTTTAAGCAAATTTACTTGAGTAATTTTAATAAAGGATAGTTTATACTATACTATATAAAGAGTCTTTATTTTTCTTTTTACCAACGTTTAGGAAATGAAGTTGCACAGGGCAAAGGGGCAACTTTAAGGCTTTGGGGGAAAGCATATTGTAGCAGCACGCATCATTTTCTGATGAAAAGCAAAACTTGGAAATTTAAACCAAAGTAAAGAGAAGTAGAGCAAAATCAAAGAATCCTTTGTTAGAGCTGCACAACTGCTCAATCAGAAAACCACAAACGTCGGTATCAAAATGGCGCCACTGCCGGTCGTGTGAAATTACACTATTTCCCATAATAAAATTCTAAATTTATAAATTGCTAAATGAAAACCCTATTTTTTCAAAACTTTTCCAAAAGCTCCACAACAATTTGAAAATTTAACATACTGGACATGCTCTTTGCCAGGCATTGTCCATGGTTTATTGCCAAAGCCCAAACAAAAACCAAAGAAACACTTTTTTTTGTTGTCTATTCCAACATCTTAAATTTCATCCTTTGAAGATTTAAGCACAATAAAATCATTATGCTGATGATGTTAATCTCAAGGTCTCAGATCACAGCTTTAAATACCGATCGAGGAGATTACATAGTTTTCATCTGGGATACACCAAGGCCAATAGGGCCGTGGAATGCCTTATCTCCCCACAAGCCACTGGCATTCTTCAAGTACAATCATAAAATTTCAAAAATAGAAGACTTGCTGGGGTTCATAAGTTTTTATGATCACGCTTTGGTTGTCTTGATAAAATTAATAAGATGCTTACCTAAAGAAATCTTGCAAGACATGTTGTCTAGAACAAATTCTTAGATCCACGCCTTGTACGACATGGAGAACTAATATGAATTGTTAGATCCACGCTTTTATGCATGATGGTAACGCAAACATCAAAGAAATGTGTCAGAATTTGAAACTTTATTTCAAGATAACTACATAACTACATCACATGCACCTTTTAATCTCTAGGATGTAACTATATTTTCTACCCGTTACATCTGGCTTTATTGTAAAATTTTGTTTTAAAATAATTACGCAGATCTATTTAATATTCATATACATGTACACTTGGTGCTTTTCTACTAACAAACTCCATCACAATGCCCTGTTTTAAATACTTTGACAGATATTTAAGAAAAAAAAAAAATATATATATATATATCTCAAACAAAAAAAAACAAACCCATCGACAATTCATTTATAAAAATTATTCCAACAATAAAAAATACACACAAGAGTATAATACTATAATTGTATAACTGATAGATTAAGCATGTTCGTTGTACATGTAAGTCTCTGCAATACAATAAACTTCTCTAAATACAGGACAACTTTTTAAAGTGTTGCAAATCAGCAATGTATAACAAACGAATGTAAGGTAAAAAGAGAAAATTTAATTTCTTTAAGCTTCACAAATATCAGTTTTTTCCGCTAATATTTTTTCATAATTCTAAATATACGTATGCACTTTCCATTTTTTCTTTGTCTTAAGGCCAGTCTATATTCAATAAAAAAAATTATGAAGAAAAAAGAAAACCCATGTCTTTATCTTCCTTACTTATATACAAGTGATGGCCCCCTCATACCCAAGAGGCATGTAAAGTACAAAGGAACTGCAATTACAATGATTCAATATAGAGCTAACTTTCAGAAACAAAGGGAAAAACAGAATGAAAACAAAGAGAGAAAAAAGACCTTCAACAATGATAAGATGAAGCAGCTGGGCTCTTCTTCCGGTCAATAAAACAATAAACAGAGAATAATATTTACAAACCACTTTCTTTCATTTTTTTGCTCCATTATGGACGCCGGCTATAGACGGCCTATGATCATTGCGTTCACAAGTGTGCCAGGCTCAAGGGTCTGCAGGCTCTCGCTTTTTGGCGGCAAAATGAGGAGGGAGTTAGCTGTCTTCATGCTCAGCAGACGACTGCTCATCTGATTGCCCGTGCTGGTGGCGCGTGGGATCGGGTCGTCTGCTCGCCACTGAAGAACCGCGCGGTGGTACTCGGGACGAGAGTCCAAAATAACCCGCTCCTCAACCTTTTGATTAAAAAAATAAATAAATAAATATCATCCAGCTACCAAAAAAAATATATCATCAAGTTTCATTGTTACACAAATATCGATGACCTTTAATACCATTTATGTAACATATGAATATATGGCATATGGTAATATTAGAACACAGGTGATTTAAATGCATTTCAAAATGGTGGGGTATATGTGCCTTGGTAACGTGTGCAAAGGGCGACTACACATGCGTGAAATTCACGTAACCGCACGAGACTTATTATAAGCAGAAGATAGTTTCGGAATTTGATAAGATAAGAATCAATTATTTTTGGTGTGATCATATCGTTAATCAAGGGACAAGAGCGTGCTTTACATCTCAGGTATTCAAATCTTTGATATGGAAGAAATATGTTCGAACACTGTTAAAGAATCTAAGAGCTGACTAAAATAGCGGCATTCATTTTTTATGATGCCAAATAAAAAAGGCATGCATATCCATACTCTACATTTATCAAAAGAATGGTTCTATTGGAAGCAATGTAAATATTTAGTAATCAGATAACGGTGTGATTCGGTGGAAAGAAATTAGCATGTGTTCAGCAAGGCAGGAGAACTCGGAAGCCAGAGAGAGAGAGAGAGAGAGAGAGAGAAAGAGAGAGAGAGATTACACGTAATTTCAAGTTAGTTGTCATCCAGCTTAAAGTACATAGTTAATAAATTCCAGTCTATAATAAAACTGCTTATACTTGTAGTATTAGCAATATCATTATACTCTATCAATTTTTAATTTCAAAAATGGTGTCGCAATTTTTACTTTGGCGACAAATAATTGGAAAAACAATTGTTGGAGGAAAAATTTAATAAACAAGAGGCCCACGGGCCTTATAGGTCACCTGAGTATTGTGTAACAACTTTCAAACAATTATATTTGGTTCGTGTTTTAAACCGGAGGCCATGAAATTCACAATTTACAATTTTGAAAGAGGCACCATTGCTTATCATAATTATTAACTTAGCATGCTTACTCTATTTACTTAATACCCAGAGGTAGATCAGAGTAACAAAGAGAAAATGCACTTCCACTTTATAACCAGTTGTGCACCTCACCCACTGACCCATGGGCCACATATTTCAAAATTTTGCAAATGTAATCATAAAATGGTTGATTAATAGCAAAGGGCAGATTTCAAAGCATTAATTTATTTTCAGACTATGTAACCCCCCCCCCCCCTTTGATCCTGGGAGCATAAAAAAACCACTTTGCTAGATGCACCTTTCTTCATCATAAATATATACTTGGATCATTGGCATAAAACCCAGAAGCAAAGGAAAATATTTTCAAAGAATTAATGCATTTTTACTATATAATCAAGAGAGCCCCGCCCTAACACCAGAACCCCTGACCCTGGGGCCATAAAATTCACAATTTTTGGAAGAGGCACTCTTGCTTATCATAACTATGTGCTTAGTTAGTTTATTTAATACCCAGAAGCAGAGAAGAAGATTTTCAAAGAAATAATGCATTTTCACTATATAATCTACAGAGCCCCGCCCTAGCACTAGAACCCCTGACCCTGGGGCCATGAATTTCACAAATCTGGAAGAGGCACTCTTGCTCATCATAACTATGTGCTTAGTTAGTTTATTTAATACCCAGGAGCAGAGAAGAAGATTTTCAAAGAAATAATGCATTTTCACTATATAATCAATAGAGCCCCGCCCTAACACCAGAACCCCTGACCCTGGGGGCATAAAATTCACAAATCTGAAAAAGGCACTCTTGCTCATCATAACTATGTGCTTAGTTAGTTTATTTAATACCCAGGAGCAGAGAAGAAGATTTTCAAAGAAATAATGCATTTTCACTATATAATCTATAGAGCCCCGCCCTTACACCAGAACCCCTGACCCTGGGGCCATAAAATTCACAATTTTTGGAAGAGGCACTCTTGCTTATCATAATTATGTGCTTAGTTAGTTTATTTAATACCCAGGAGCAGAGAAGAAGATTTTCAAAGAAATAATGCATTTTCACTATATAATCTACAGAGCCCCGCCCTAGCACTAGAACTCCTGACCCTGGGGCCATGAATTTCACAAATCTGGAAGAGGCACTCTTGCTCATCATAACTATGTGCTTAGTTAGTTTATTTAATACCCAGGAGCAGAGAAGAAGATTTTCAAAGAAATAATGCATTTTCCCTATATAATCTATAGAGCCCCGCCCTTACACCAGAACCCCTGACCCTGGGGCCATAAAATTCACAAATCTGGAAGAGGCACTCTTGCTCATCATAACTATGTGCTTAGTTAGTTTATTTAATACCCAGGAGCAGAGAAGAAGATTTTCAAAGAAATAATGCATTTTCCCTATATTATCTATAGAGCCCCGCCCTAGCACTAGAACCCCTGACCCTGGGGCCATGAATTTCACAATTTTGGTAGAGGACTCAATGTTCATTACATTCATGCCAACAGTTTGCCTGCTTGATGTCCAGGAGTAAAGAAGAAGATTTTTAAAGATTTCATTAATTTTAGTGGTTTTGGCCCCACCCCTCAGGCCCCAGGGGGGCGGGGACCATGAAATTCATAATTTTTGTTCCCCTTCACCCACAGATGCTGTATACCAAATTTGGTTGAAATTGGTTCAGTGGTTTTAGAGAAAAAGCTGAAAATGTTCAAATGTTAACACACGACACACGACGCACGACGGACGACGACGGACGAAAACGGATAGCAATAGGTCACCTGAGTTACTCAGGTGACCTAAAAATACTTCAATATTTTTTTCCATAGACTCTCTCGATCGGAAAATCTTGGTAAAAAGAAATTTCATCGTCTTGGTTACGATTCATATCACACTCTCCCAGACACTATATATCAACGAACATTTGTAATTGAGTGGGCACTTCAAACGGGTTTCTTTGGACTATATTTTATCTTCAATAAATCTTTTTTCTCTTTGATACAAAATCTGAACTACATAAACAAATACCCTGCATTAATATTTTGATTTTCTTTATATTGATGAAAGAACAATCAATAACGTTTGATAACTTTAATATTATTATCCCATCGCTACAGATCTTGATTTTGAGAGGTTATAGTAACGTATTTGCGGGTGATTTAATAATCCTCTGCCAAAAGATCGATCGTGACGTAATTTGCATTGGGGTTGATGTCGAATGCTGCTCTTTGCTATAGATTGCTTGTAACTCTTAGTTTCTGTACTATCCAATGAAATGCAGCCAAGAAGATCACAAAGTATACTTTTTTCTATAAGTTACAATTTCAGTCATTCATAAAAGTATATTCAATATAAAAGTAAAATGAAAAATTAAAATTAAACACGATTTGGAAAGGAAACATATTTTTTAAAAAAAAACGTCAATTTTTACGTGTTTTGTTTTTTCCATTACAAAAAATGTAAGAAAAAAAAATCTTGCTTAGTCGACCATCATGTGACGTCATAAGTTTTTGCATCAACAACATAAAACCAATTTTTTATGTTCTCTTGAAGGAATGTCTATTTTATACTATTAGTATAATATGTTTCATACGTAAAATCTTAAATGGATATTTTTCATAATCAACATGATCAAAAGATGGAGCAAAGGTCGATACATGTAGCTGTTAATAAACATTAATTTTTCTTCACTTTTGCTATTTAATTCCCTTTCTAAGGAAGGAATCCTTCAAAACCATATGTCAGTTTTAAATATTTTAATAATCCAAAGAACCAAAATGAATCTGAACTACCGTATCTTTATTGGATCGCTAATTTTCATAGAAATCCTTACAAAAAAGATAAATGTGCATAGCGAGTTCCAGTAAATGCTCAACCAAGCCTCCTTCTTTACTCCTCACTAAAATATTAACAGCAGTGAAGAAGAAACTGCATATTTATATTATTATTATGCCATCTACATATCTTTTTGTTAACATGTCAAGTCAACATAACTATCTCGTCAAGTCGTGATAACTTACAAGTTTGTCGTCAAACACCGACTTTTATCTTGTAAAGTCAAGATAAGCTATTGTATTTTTGCGATAGCTATCTCGACAAAAAGATATAATTTATCTTGTATCGCGACTAAAAGCTATGTCGTCATGTCAAGACAGCTATTGCAACAAAATGTGATAGCTTATCTTGACTGGGCAAGATATAAAGTCGGTGTTTGTCGACAAACCAGAAAGATATAATGACTTGACGAGATAGTTATCTTGACTTAACATGATAACGCTATGTTGACAAAAAACTGAAAAAAAGTATGTGGATGGCATAAATATTCCACAATATAAATGCTTAAAAATTCCAAAAAACTTTTGGACAATTTGAAATCACAAGATTTTACAAAAATCTTAAAATAGTTGAAAAATTTACGACTTTTCAACTCTATACACTATCACTTCCAACAATAAATTAAAGTCCAAGCTTTTTGATATCAATGACAACTGTTTTTTCAATAAAAATGGAACTCGTAAATTAACTTACCTTGTCATTGGTCATTTGCAAAAATATTTTGTTTAAAAACATTCTGATTGTACACACGGGTAATCTGAAGTTGATATCAAAAAGATACTTGAGTTTCTGATTGACGATAGCTATGTGGTTTTTGAAGACCTGGCCTCAGGATCATGAAACAAACTTAGACTTAAGTCAAATTTTCAATCACCTATATAATATTTATTAATTATGGAATTTATTTCTAGATTTGCAGATACTAATACCTCTCTGAAATAATAATGAAAAATATTTTAATTTTGGTCTGCTTGACTTCTACAACATTTTATTATCAAATATAAATTTTGACTTAAGCTTCAGATGTTTCATGATCCTGGGGCCAGGTCTTCAAACAATAGATTTGAATACCATGGATACCAAGATCTTTTAAAATATACGTGAAATGAAGAAAACTCTTAATGTGTCTTTCAAATCGACATTTAGATATGAGTACATGTATATCGACGATGTTGTGTCAATCAACAATTGGTAATTTCCATTCTTATGCCGATACTATATATCCTGGTGAACGTCAGATAAAAGATACCACAGAGTCTGACATTACTATTTCATATTTGAATATTTTACTTGAAAAAAGACAATGGTTATCTAACAACCAAGGTATATGATAAACGTGATGACTTTTACTTTTCAATCGTCAACTTCCCTTACTTACACAGCTACATGTATTTACACTGTACCTTCATCACCTGAATACTGGGCCTATATATCTCCATTGATTCAATACGCAAGAGCATGCTCTACGTATAAACAATTTCTAAAACGAGGTAAATTATTGACAAACAAGTTGATGAGATAAGAATATCAGCAGTCTTTTTTAAAGTCATCATTTCGTAAGTTCTATGATCGATACCATTACCATGTAAACAAATACAATTTTTCATTCAGTCAAATCTTGACTGAGATTTTTCATAACAGTTGTTAGTCCATTATTTATACACGGAATTTTTGACGGATTTTTTCCATTATTTCCCGATCATGAAAAGAAGCACACAGCGGGTGGTACCACGGCAGAGTACCGGGGTATTATCTCTCTTCCATGACATTTGATCCCACCTCTGATGTTTTGGAGGTCCGTGTTTGCTCTGCCCCTGTTTTGTATTGTTTTATGGACTTTTTGATCTTAATACTGTTCGTTATAACGAGATAACTAAGTCGTTATAACGAGATAATTAACGAGTTATTTTTTTTATCTTTTCAGAAATGAGCCTATCCGGTTTTCGTACGTTTCACTTATTATAAATAAACCTCTTTACAATGGTCTATTTGATATCAAATAATATACATTTTTGCTGTATTTAATATGATATATGATTGTTATGACGTTTGAAACAGAATTGACGCAATTTATCAAAAGTGAAATATTTCTAATGCTTATATATTTGTTTATGTCTGACATCTTTAAAATGGGGGCAACTACAAATAATCTGTGATAAATTATTTTTAACTGTATTGAATTTTAATCTACACAGGTTTTTAATTCTACATGTATTAATCGAAAATGGCAAAAGTTGGTTAAACAACACACTTCAAATGATAAAGCTTACATTCTGAACTTAAGCATAAAATGCCTCATGACATGCTGATTTCAAGAGATTCAAACCAGTTAATATGTAAAATAAACACCTTCTATCAGCTAAATTCTTATTTTCTAAATTTAGAATCATCTATTACTTGAAAGTGTTATCTTTACGCTTTGAGATTATGAGTGCAAAAATGTCATAGAAAACTTCAAACAGCATATCTATTAAAATTATATATCTATCATTTTTTTTTTATTTATGTGCTTATATATGGATGACACATTTGTGATATAATCTGTCTTATCAATTCAGAAAATTTGCTTAGCTAAGACCAGTTTTTCTTAATTATATGTATGACACATTTGTGATATAATCTGTCTTATCAATTCATATATATATATATATATATATATATATATATATATATATACTGTGAAATCACTAATTTTCGGAGGAGTTTAATTTTCGTTGTTTTCGAGGTATCGAGAGACCCACGAATTCATGACAAACACGAACGTAAAATTTCATATGCATTTCTAATAAACATTTTCCAACCACGAAATCAAAACCCCACAAACCAAAACCTTGAAAATTTGACCCCTTGAAAATATGTGATTTTAAAGTATGTATGGTAGATTTTATAGAACATTTGTTTAAGGTAATTTTTCGAGTTGTTGTTATAGATTTTATCACAAATATGTCAATGAAAGATTATTTATGAGGAAGAAGTCGAAACGGCCGAGGGGTCTATATCGAAAGGGGGTCCTGTCTTCAAGCACCTGTGATTTTATTTAAAGGAAACTTAAGACTAAAACCAAAACCTTTCGCCTTTATTACCTTCCCATGGTTAAGGGCCATTTTCTTTTTCTTAAAACGGAAGACCTTGGCCAAATGATACTCTCTGGAAAATGCTAACGTATTAGCTTTTTTAAGCCTTTGGCTCAACAAAAGTAAGAAATAGTTTCACACCTCAACAGACACGAAAGAAAAGAACGAAGTCTGGTCAACAATTTTTCTGTTTTTTTAACAGTTAAGACAAGAAAATTATTATTTTTGTCCTGCTTCTTAATCAACCCGGTATTATAAATCATGCTGACAGTGTGTCATTAAAAAAAGAAATAGTTACTATTTTTGGCTTTGCCAATAATTCCACAAAAAATTGTGAAAATGTATGCATTTTTAGTAAAACAACTGCAACTTTTTGACAAAATCTTTCAAAGTCAGGGCCCGCGGTAACTATCAAGAAAAGGTTTCATCTTTTTTATTTTTCTTTAAAACAATTAATGACCTACTTCCTTCTTCCAATCCTTCTATTCATAGCATTCAGTAATAAAATATAAAATGTATAGATATCTTATCGTTCTGATTGTTGACATTCAACCCTCCAGGTTTTAATTCAATACGACCTTTCCAATTTGATAGTAGAAATGCAGAGGAGAAAAGAGACATACTAGTATTTGATCGACTGAAAATTGTTAATATAGTCGTAACAAGATTTGTAACTTTTTAATACAAAATTGCAGTTTGCCGGAATGGTTTGAATTTATAAAGCTTTCGCATTTGTTACTACTTTGTAAGCTCGACCCCGAGTACAAACCGCGAGCCAACGCTATACATTGCAAGTGTCAGTTATAAGTGTAACTAAGCATTATTGATGTAGGTTGTTAAAGCATAAAAGAAATTCAAAAACAGCATTTAAAATGCAACCCCATTGATCTCAAGCCTTGTGACCTAGCTATGACCTTGGATAAAATTCAATATAAGCATACTGACGTTTAAATTGAAGAAAAATTGTTAAGCTAGCTCAGGGTCGGAAATGTCTTGTAACCTTGACCTCACGGACATGACCTTGATTTATCATTCAATTGCATCGCCAAGTACTTAACACAAATCATAAGTTAAATTCATATCACACTAAAGATTCCAAAGTTATAGCCCTACTAGGATTAACTACAGACAGGAACATGTATTTTATAACAAACAATCAGTCGCTTGCAAAATCAATGTGTTAAAAGGTGATGAGTCTAAAGTTTCTTCTTTTTACACTGCTTTCAGCTATTCTCTTGTATAAATAACATGAATTTGAAATTACAACTGGAAGTAAATATTCACATTTTTATCTTAGGATATTTTCTCTAACCTTCACGCAAAATATTAAATGATAATCTCATTTCGCTCGACTTCTACGTTAATAGCTAATATTTGTCGAATGCAAATATACTGTCAGCAAATGCAACTCTTTGATAAGCAAATTGTCGATATAAAGAGTAAATTGTAAAGTGGAAAACTTTACTCACCTTGGCTTTAATGATTGTCCGATGTGGGAAAGGATTTCCCGCCATTTTGTTAAGCGCTGGTATGACGTACAGGTTACAGGTCACAATGGCGGAAACTGGATTTCCGGGTAAACCAAAGAAAAGCTTTTTCCCTTGTTCGTGGTTGATGGTCGCAAAAGCAGTTGGTTTTCTAACAGATAAAAAGCTTTGTAAAGCTATTTGTAAGGATCAACTCATGCCCCTAAATTTCAAACCAAATTCCACAAACTAAACGAAAACAAACCATGTCATACATATAAGATAAATCGTCCCAATTAATAGAATCCATGTGATTTTGTTTTGAAGAACTTTGACAAATAAAAGGGATAAAATCACACCTGATAGAATTTAAATTAAACATTATAGATTTTTGACTTTTTTCAGGAAATACAATGTATTTAAAAAAAGAGAAGGAAAGGTTAATTTAATTTTTTACTGATGAAGCAACTCTGATCTCCTTCGTAAGAGTTATCATTACGCAAGTTAGAACGATACATGCACACCGAAGAAAGCTGAGCATTTTTGGCAGAAAAGAATATTTTACCATTTAAAGATAATCAAAGCATAATTGAAAAGTTTCTGTATTTCTTCATAATATCTCCTTTAGATTATGAATTTTGATCTCTTATATTCAACTTTCAGAGGAGCTTGTCTTTGGTTAATATTTTTTTCCCATTGAATAATGGAATAAAAATAACATTCAGAAACCATATTTCTAGGTTGGACCATAAATTCATTTTTTTTAGCAAAAATCTTGCAAAAAAAAAAACATTTAGTTTCTGAATGGTCCTTTCTATGCCATTCATACTTTATGTTTATTCCATCATTCAAAAATTGGAAGTGCAACTTTTGCTGTAATAATCTAATGTAATGACCTATGACCTGGGGAAAACATTTCTCTTTTTTCATTACTTATTTTACTACCGTAATCCTTTTTATCAATCTTAGGAATCACTTTTATTCTTAAAATAATCGATCGAAAATTAAAAAAAAAAATCTTTATTTTCTAGAAGAGGTATATTTTTTCTAAATTGTTACAGATGCGGAGAAAAAGTGACACACAAAGTTATCGTATACTTGTTATTTTAAAAAAATATGCTAAAATCCAATAACCCAGTTTTTTTAAGTAGGTGTACGCTGATTTGAGAAAAAACCTAAAGATGCAAAGCATAACCTATAAGTGGGATTGTTGCATGTTGAAAGAAAACAGAAGGGCCCTGTCTCTTCATAATTAGGCTATCTGCATCTGCACAAGTTCCTAAACAATTAGTTCTTCTTCGTGAGAAACCTGGAATCAAACAAAACCTTGGCCCCAAAAACTGTTTTCTTTCTCAATTAAAAAGTAGTTTTGTGGTGTGTATCTGATATGGTCCGTGCATAGACGTTATTTTGTAATTTTGAAATGTTTTGATCAGAAAACCTTGATTTTGAGATTTATGATGTGTCATTCAAAAAAAAAAACAACAAAGTACGTAGTGTTTACATGTATAGTACGAACTTCAAGTCATTTGGTACAAACGGAACATGTGAAATATCAATTATAAAAAAGGCTGCAGCTTCGCTGTTTTGAGAAACGTTGTTAATGAAGCGTAACGAGTCCGCTATACGGCGCTGTAGGTCTACGGCGGGCAATGGCGGCCGCTCTAAAGACTTCAGCAAAGGAGAGCTGTTTTTCTCATTTCTCTGTCCATTTGACGTGTAACACGAGTGATTAAGTCATGGTCGTATTAAAATCTTTTGCAGTTGTGTGGTAAAACTATCTAGATAGTTTACAGAAGGTCTCGTTCGTAATATACACCTTATACATTGCGTTTCCAGCTGTCAGTATATTTGTATTTATCACTTTCAATGCACGAAAATGTAGGTCTACAAGTTAATGAAAAAAATATTACAGTTTGATCACTGATTATTAAAATTACATGAACTTTACTGATTCTGATAAAAAAAGTGAAAAAAAATTCAACAGAGATAATTCTTGTTACATGTACAACAAGGGGCATCAATAGCAAACGAAATTAATTTTCCTTGATCTCTCGACAGCTGGATATTTATCTCATTTGAATTTTTTACACCACTTTGCAGTAATACGTAAAAAAATATGAAGAATATGAATATGGGGTATTGGGGAAGTTACGCAAATCGAAATCAGTGAAGGATTTCTTCGAGAGTATAGATTCAATTTCCCTGAACATTCTTTAAACTAGTACATTTAAAAAAAAAAATCTTCAAGAGATGTACCACTTTAAATAACTGATTTGACAGCATTGTTCACACTGATCATATTAAAACTCATAAAAAAAAAAACTACATTTAAGGACATGTATGTATGATACTGCCGAGATCTTGCCCCCTAAGTAAAAATAGGTAGGGAATTCTTTGAATTTCATTGTTGCAATTAGAAACCGATTTCCTTCGGAAGGCGGAACAACCAATTCTAGATATTCAAATATTTGCATAAGAATTCCGCTTTCCCGCTGTTTGGGGGTTTGCCTTTCCCTTTTCTCCCTGTGGTCTGGGAACATTATAGGTCCAGAACTGAATTCTTTCCTCTTAAAATATAGTGCATCCAGGCCCATTTAATGATAAAAATAAATAAAGAGGCGTTCCGAACATCATCACCTCAAAACATTTAAATTCCTACCAAATGTAGGAATGTGCGAACTGGTTCGGAAATTATTCCTGCAGTGGTACTCTCTTGCTGTTTAGCACATTTAATGACTTTTACATTTCAAGGAGAGAAAAAAATGGGAGTTGGGTGCATTTAAGTATAGAAGTGCAGTGTTTTGTTTACAGGTGTTTGATAACTGCGTAATCTGCAACATGTTTGTAAATAAACTGTTTATTGTGGTTTAATCTCACTTATCTTTCATCCGGCCGCGCATGCTCAGCGACTGTTATGAATGGGACAACTGTTGTCATTCAGTGTTGCCAAAATAAATAAGAACTGTGTGCTCAAAAAGTAAACATGCTTAATTAGCTACAGGTCATCGGACGTTAAGCTGACGATGAAAAGATCTTTGTTAACTGGCTGGGAATCGAACCTACAGCTCTTGTACGTGTGAGGAATATTCCGTCAACTTGGCAAAATCCGACTGCACCACGTGACTTAGTAAAGCTGCGCATTCATTCATACTAAGGCATACAGTACTTAGTCTAGTTGTGCAAAGACTTGACTCTTGATGAGTTCGGCTTCATTAGCACATTGACAAAACGTCTTACATGTATTTAGCACGTACGCATGTATTTTTTCTTGTTTTCTTCTAAGCGCATTGACCCAAGCAATAAACATTTTCAATATTTCTTTAAACACAAAAGTGTGATAAAGTTCATCATAATAATACAAATCCATGCACCTAAGGTTTGTATAGAAGATAACCGTTCGATAAAGCCAGAGAATGCTAGCGACCCGCCTTTCTGCTGACACCTCGTATTGCTAATATAATCTAATTAGGCGTCGGTTGAAGAAATCAAAATATCTTGTGTTCTCGCTCACCTTCTGACCACGCCTCCCGAGACCTAAAAACACGCGAGAGTTCCCGGGGTGTGCGATAGCCGAGATTTACACGGCAAGACACGTGTCAACAGTTTACAAGGTGGATGTGAATGCTGGAAAACTATTGACGTCATTACAGCTAGCTCATACGCAAAGTACCCCCAGACGAAGAGCTGGAACCCCCAAAACCATCCTCAATCGTGGGCAATTAACGTCAGTGTCGACATTTTAAGCGACAGTTTAATCATTTTAATTAGGAAGGTATCATTTACTTTTGTAACCAATGAGAAATGGTGAAGAAAAGAATTCTTTTGCTGACGGCACATGACAAGAAAGACTTACCCTGGTTTCATAAAGACTCGGCCAAAATGAATGTTCGCATCAAGGTCCGTCAACACGTGCTTCAAAAGATCCTGTAAGAGAAAAGAAGACGTTGCTTCAATTATATACAAGTTTCCTTAGGGAAAAAAAAATCATTTTAAAATTTTTGAATATATTTTTTGTAATTTGCGCTGAGTAACATTAGTCATGCATTTATATAATTTGTCAAATGATATTTTTTAATTACCTTTTCGCCCATTGAAACACCGCCAGACGTCACTATGACGTCACACATGGTTAATGACTCTGTCAGCTTCAGGAGTAGGGCGGCTGTCCTGAAAAATTGAACTTTAATGAAATTTCTTCTTTTTTCAATAATTGTTTTGTGTTATAAAAGGCTTAATTTGCCTTTTCAGACGAAATTTTAAAATTCATTCAGGTTACAAAATCGACTTCAGGCTTATTTTATCTCCTCTTTGTTCGGTCATGTAAAATTTTATCTAAAATCGATGATTTGCCACGCGGAAAATTTTATTTATTTAAAAAAGGTTTCGGTTGCAGCATTTTTGCAGGCAAAAGGACAAGGTAGGGTAACGACCGTATCTGCCCCCTTATTCGATGTAAAAATCAGAATACCAGTCTGGTAAAATTGGGATAGTTTGTAGTTAAAAAATGAAAATGATGCTTACTCTAAAACCATTCGCTTACTTAAATTCAAAACTTACATGGAGGTCACAAGAGGGGGCAAAAGTAGTACATTTTCTCGAATTTCCTCTGTCAAATCCGGTGGAATTTCATCATAAGCGAGATACGTTTCTCTTTGCGGAAAATATAGAGCACAAGCTCGCCTATCTGAGATTTTTACACATAAACTGCATCTGATACATGTACTAGTGCATAAAATATATAAATTTGGTAGATATGCAAGCTTGTGTTTTACGTTTTCCGCAACAAAATGTGCCGTAAATTCGATGAAAATTTGAATAACCAGAAGTCTCTGTCGAGACTGAAGCTCTACTGGTTTGTACTTATAGCAAAGGAAGAGAAAAGTACTTAAGCAGTTGGAAATTGAAACTTTTCAACAGATAAATAGAATAATTATCCTTGATTAAGTCTCTTTATGTTCTTAGTGCAGTCTACTTGCATGCAACATTTATATTATAATCAGACTAAAATTGTATTTGAAGTAGCATTTTGAAAGAATTTCACAGAAATTTCTAGTAACCACGGCAACACCATTCATCGAAATCTAAACAGAATTATGTATCTTTGTAGTCTACTTGTGTGCCAAGTTATATTGAAATCACTAAAACTGTAGAAGGAGTAGCATTTTGAAAGAATTTCACAGAAATTTCTATTTTTAGTAACCACAGCAACACCGTTCATCGAAATCAAAAACCGATATACAGAATTGTGTATCTTAGTGTAGTCTACTTGTGTGCCAAGTTATATTGAAATCAGACTAAAACTGTAGGAGGAGTAGCATTTTGAAAGAATTTCACAGAAATTTCTATTTTTAGTAACCACGGCAACACCGTTCATCGAAATCAAAAACTGATACACAGAATTATGTATCTTAGTGAAGTCTACTTGTGTGCCAAGTTATATTGAAATCAGACTAAAACTGTAGAAGGAGTAGCATTTTGAAAGAATTTCACAGAAATTTCTGCAACACCGTTGAAATCAAAAACCGATACAAAGAATTGTGTATCTTAGTGTAGTCTACTTGTGTGCCAAGTTATATTGTAATCAGACTAAAACTGTAGGAGGAGTAGCATATATATTTTTGTAACCAGAAACCGTTCATCGAAATCAAAAACTGATATACAGAATTATGTACTTAGTGAAGTCTACTTGTGTGCCAAGTTATATTGAAATCAGACTAAAACTGTAGGAGGAGTAGCATTTTGAAAGAATTAATTTCTATTTTTAGTAACCACGGCAACACCGTTCATCTTAGTGTAGTCTACTTGTGTGCCAAGTTATATTGAAATTGGACCAAAACTGTAGGAGGAGTAGCATTTTGAAAAATTGTACAGACAGACAGACGGACAGACAGACAGACAGACAGACAGACAGACGGAATCTTAATTTTTAAATGTCTCTATGATAAATACGAAAAAAAACAAATATTCCTTTTGTGTCAGGGATGACAACATGTTTTTATTGATAAAATATTTACATTTGCAAATGTTTTCCTTTATATAACACTACTGAAAGCAAGCGTTTTTATAACTGTATAAATACAGGTACGGGGTCAAGAGGTCATAGATGTTCATATGGATACGTAATTTCTCTGTGATATCGACGCGCGGTCAGAGGATTACATACATGCAGTTGGGTTTGAAAAATAATGCATTTCACACGTTAAAAGTCACAATCAGGCAAGTTTAAAGTATGAATAAGTCACAAATGTAAATATAAGTAATAAGGTATCATTTTTTGAGTGTTATTGGGATGTAAAACGGGTTGGCACATGAACAAATCTCCCATAACGTGACCAACCCGTTTTACATCCCAATAACACTCAAAAAATGATACCTTATTTCTTAAATGTTTCAACATTCTGAAAACACCCAAAATCAAGAGCCAGAAAGAGGTCTTAACCTGCCTTGTCCTTGGCTGGTCTTAAAGTCGAAAAAAGATATATATGAAGAAATATTTGCATATCCACTGCCCTCACCCACTATGAACATGTAGTAATCAACTATAGACGCAACTGCTTCTACTATGAGTCCAATTGCTCTATCACACTCGTGTTGAGAAGTATATATATGAAATGTTTCATAAGAGGAATAAAAATAAGTTTTTAATAATATTCTTTGAAAAAAAGGAAATTCAGAATATTTAAAATTGCTGATTTATACCTTTAAAAATTCAATTTTTGTCAATGTATTTAATTGTATAATAAAACTTTTTAAAAATTGTAGAGAACTGCCATATTTGTATTTTTTGTAATGCAATTTCGATAACTCTTCACACTTGGGTAATAACATTCAGAAAGAGAAAATTTTGGATTTCAAGAATGATTTAAAATTAGAAAAATCATTCTAGAGTAATAATCATCATAAAAGCAATTTTTCATCATAGTGTTTTAAAAATTATTGATTTTTGTCAATATATGCATCAAAACAAAAATGTGATGACGGCGCTGCTTGTATCCAGATAACTGTGTTTGAGATGGAAATACTTTATAATATGTTTGTGATTTATTAGAGAAAAGAAGCATTAATCAGGTTTATTGATTTTAAAGCCGTATGTTTTTCTTTTTTCCTTATGTAAGTGATGTGTGCATGCAAATATTAATAAACAACGATTATTCAATTAGCAATTTGGCATATTTTCCATGATGCGCTAGCGCGCATTATTGCAAGCAATTGCTATTCATAATGTCATTTAATGACAGCTATTAGTATCTTTCTTACCCAGATGTCAATGAACCTTAATTTTTAAATGTTATGATAAATACAAAAAAAAAACATCTTCAGGCCAAATGATAAAACCTCCAGCGAGTTCATTATACGAAATATCACGCACGGTGTATAACGCAAAATTCGCTTCAAAAGAAGGACAGTCAATTAGGGAATAACTATCTCCTAATTTGGTATTTGCGACCGTTAATGCTGATTTTCAATAAGTTTTACCGGCTCAGTGTGTTAAATCAGCATTAACAGTCTGTGTTTTATAACTTATTTTGATGAATTTTGTTACATGAAATACGTTACGAAGCATTGTGTTTTTGCGTCGCTATGCACAATGAAAAAATTAATGCTCATTTTACTGCTTCAAACATCAGTGCATTAGCCAATGAAAAAGTGTTTTACAAAACAATTGCATTAGAATGACATATTAACAGCCCTAGACTTTTTATCAAAGTTTAAGTCGCCAAAGGATTTTCATTCAATATTCATGGCTTTTAAAACCTTACTAAAAATAAACTTTATTCAAAGAATTTTGATAACTCGATTTTCGATTTCGAAATTAATCTCAAACATCTAAATTCCGAATATATGCACGATATGTCGATATGTGTTAAAGTCCCAATAGATTTTCATCGATTATTGAAAGTAATTTTTCTTTAATCCCGCTGAGGTTGAAATAATGATGACTTAAGTTTCGACGGGTTCAATAACTCAGTGTGTTTCAGTCTGTGTTTTATAACACGTACGTATCTTCCGCTATGCCGAGGTCCACGACAGGCAATCCATGCTCCTGTAATTGTGCAATAAGCGTGGTTCTGTTACTGTCTCTGATTTTTCCCTCCAGCAGGGCCTCATCTGGCTCAAGCAACTGAAATCAATGTAACGATTACACAATTTGTGTCCAGACCTGATAATTAAATGTTTTTGTTTTCCTCTTTACATGTATTTATCTTTAAAAAAATTATTGCAGATGACATTTTACATTAAAAAGGTGTTTTGTAACATACCTAATTACCTATTATACAAGTATATATATCTGACACTTATCGTTTTTTCAACCTTCATATAAAATAATCAAGAAACATCATTCTTTAAATTTATATTTGTTAACTTATATAATCAAATATGAAAGGTATACACATATTATTCTCCCCTCCCCAAATTTTCTTTATAACCAGAAGCAATTATGATTATCGACTCTGTTGAAGTTTGATGGCTATGACTTTCCAATAATGAAAGATAGGACCCAGTGACTTCGTTATATCCGAGTTTTACTGTAATCATGTCAGATTCACCAGTTTTTAAAGAGAATGAATTTAATATGAAACAATTTTTTCCGATTTCAAAAATTAAAAATAATGTCGCCCGGTACGTGCACTTTTTTACTAACTTAAATTTTATATTGGAAGCCATTTTTCACTCTCTACCATCGTCTCATTCATTCATTCAGTATCGGAGAGAGAAGGAATGACAACTCTGCATGGGAGATTGACCATTTGTTCTGAGTCCTACCTCATTTCCGGTTGACATGATCCCTATAACCGGAAACTTGTAGCAGAAGACCTTTGTGGCGCCCACTGTTGCTAGGATACCTAACTCAGAGGGACCAATCTTCTGATACTTCTCTAAAACTTTCTCCCCTTTGGCGATATCTGAACCAACATTCCTGCAATTAACCATAATAATGATAGGCTCAATATTAAAAGTTGATTTTTAGATATTTTTAATTTTTACTGGCTATTCCTTCATGGCCGAAGAAGGCTGCAAAATAAATTACAACTTCAATTTTCGTGCAAACTTCTACTGTGACACATGACTATGATTTTTGCATTTAATTCGATAAACCACCTAAAAATAGGTCAATTCTCCGCTGCTCTCGAACAGAACTGTACATATCAGTGACAAATAAATAACAAATATTAATTTCAAGTAATTTTGCTTCCATTTATACCTACCGGATATCCTGTCCCTTTTTGGGGGCCTCCATTATCTTGATTTCCAGTTCCGTTCGGCCTTCGTCTTCCTCTCTAACTAAGATCGTGTCCTCCACTTGTACCACGGCATCAGCGCCAACCGGAAGTGGAGCACCCGTGTTGATTCGGACACAGAACCCCGACGTCACAACACCTTTTGGCTGCAATAGTTTTGCACATCTTTAAAATGTGTTACAAGCGGTAGAATATCGCCACTATTTTCTTTAAAATTAAGAGGGTTAAAGTTTTCAAGTTCTTAGCTCTTACTTGGTAAAAAAATTAAGATATACTTTTAAAGTAGCATTTTCTTTTTCGTTTTAATTGGATAAAATTCAAAGACGCTTTAATTATGTTCTTACACATAGTCAGCATTTGTTTCGCCTCAACAGCGTAGGACAGATTATATTTAGTTAATTTTGTTTCTTTTTTTTATTTTGTGACTGTTGGTCAACTTTCGGTTAGAACGAGTTATTATTAGCCTCTGTTTAAAAGTTCTACGAAGTAAAAATAGAATATTAACAGATGTTACATCAGCAGTGAATACAAAGTCGGCTCCAATGGGCGAACCTTTTGTTCTTGGATATGCACTGTGCTATAAAAGAAGAGAGGGTACATTTCGTAAATCTAGATCTCCAGCAAAATTATATAATGTTACTGATTTGATTTGCAGCGATGGTTGTAGTTTTTATTATTTTGGAGATTGAAAAACACAAGTTCCGGGTGAGCATTATAAATTTTTAATTTCTGGATTAACAACACCGTGAGAACAAGATATTATCTAATCACTAAATGAAAAGCACGGTGTATAGACACGGAAACTCGGCGTACATCTTAGGACTAAACTGAACGCACTCGCAGTCTCCGTGAGAGACCGAGGGACTAAACGGAACGCACCGGGAATACACCACTCTCCCGCGCAAACAAATTTCCATTCATAATATTGGAATCAAGGGGAGAATTCCCTCGGGGATCGGTACTACGTCGCGGTTACACAACACGTAATTGTAGAGAAGTCGGTAATACTCTGTTCTGTTAGGTCAATATAGAATTGCTGATATCAGTTTTCTCCGTCAAATTGCAGGATGTCTCTCCGAGAATTACAAATCATTTTTCCTGCGTCAAAATTAATTTAAAGCGTTTGAACTCGTCATGAACCGTTCTTTTACATTTTTAATATTTAATGAAAGCATGAGAAAATAAATGTGATTTTCAGAGATGCTTTTCCAAAGAGGATACTTGTACGCCCATCCTTTTATATGCTCTTAGGAATTGTTTTGAGACAAGTTTTGTTCAGATGTGTAGAAAATTTTCAGAGCAGTATTTCAGGGGATATGACATGATCTATCGATTTTATAAGTGCATAAAAGGAAGTACAGAAAAAAATGAAAATCCATCCAGTATACATGTATGCTAGTATTCAATGAAACTATTGGAAAATTAATATGCGTTTTATTCTTACAGGTATATTATTTGATATTTATATAAACACATTTTCAAACAAGTTTAAATACAAAACTTTAAAATACTTTAATTTAAAGTTAGAGTGATTATTAAATGAAACGTATATATGCATATAAGGGATGTTTAGAAACGACACTGAAAAACAAACTTGAATTCTCGGAAAGCACGTTAATTATAAAAAATGTCGCCAATTTTATCACATTCCGCGATGACATAAGAGAGGTCCTATGATTAAATGGTGCAAATTATATACACCTGGGACTCCCTCTTCTTCATAAAGTATAATGGATGTGAAGTTATCAATAATTAATGAATTTTCAGGCCCCAATCACTTATTATTATTGGCAATTCATGTAAATTATGCATATCATTAACCATCCCCATACAGAAAAGAAATAAAGCAATTCTGAGTGAACCTTTAAAAAATCAAATCAAATATACCAATATATACTGAAAGGAAAAAGAAACGCAGGGTAGCACAATGTTCGAAAAAATTTTGACCACATGACCGAAAATTACGAAATACTGTAAAATCACATATTTTCGTGGGGTCAAATTTTCGTGGTTTGAGGAAAAAATGCTGGTTCATGGGGATTTGATTTCGTGGATGAAGAACTTTTAAGTAGTTGTGCATATGGAAATTTACATTTCGTGGTGGACATAAATTCGTGGGTCTCTTCACACCACGAAAACAACGAAAATTAAACCCCCACGAAAATTAGTGATTTCACAGTATGTCAGAAGAGAAATTTAGTTACTGTGCAACAAAATCAGTATTCAGAATTACTCAACCGTTAAATTTATGACGTCACGTAGGGAAAACGCTAAAAAGCCCAAAACAAGTGCAAATTGATAACGACGAGTTTGTCAACAAATCTTGTTGCATTAGTTGATGCATATGAGGTATGCACATCGTTTTTCAATATTAAGAGACATTATGAATTTCTTCAAATCTTGGCACAGTTTACGGAAGTTCAATGGGGACTTGTTTTCGAATTGCCTAATTATTGAAAAAGGCAACAACGGTTTACTAAGCAGTTTCTTGTAAATTTTCCCCTATAAAACTACCCGTTGTCAGAGGTGGTCTGGAATGGTTTTCAATCAACGTGACGATGACGTTAACGCGAAACAGACCCATGTTACAAGCGGCTTATTCGTCCTGCCATCTCTTGAATCGCCACCTTACTACCACAAAAACAGCCATTCATTTAGTAGACGATTATAATCATTACATTCATACGAAATTTGAAAGAAAACAATTCCGCAATTTGGTTTTTTGAGCCAGTCAACTTACTGTTGTATTCCTCTCACTGGCGCATGCGCGCGCCGTTTGACTTATTTTTTTGCGTGGTTACCCATGCCAAATATAGCCAGGGTTTGAAAGATAAACACTCTAATGAAATTCCAATGCAAAGGAGAAATAAGGCTCTGACAGATGCACGGGAGAGACATTGAAGATAATGAGAGTTTTCGATTTTCACTTTCGGGGGGTATCGTCATTTGAGCTTCAATAATTCATAAATTATTAGACAAAATCAAATGGGAATTTGGTTATATCTTTTTGAAAGATGATTTAAAAGTTAGATAGGAAAACTAAAACATGTTTTTAGAAAAACAAATTTAATTCACCTCAAAAGTTTACCCAGCGTTTCTTTTTCCTTTCAGTATATTTATGAAGCTACGCGTTTATAAAATATCATTTTCTAAAGGTGCATATCAATGATTTTAATTATAAACAATGTTGATACTTTTTACTTCTTACTTTTCAAATTTATGCAAAAACTGATGAATTTTTGTACAGCAAGTTTGCAAAATTGGTTGTAGTAATTGAATTCACCCATACTAAAAGGTAGAAAAACCCGGTTAATGTTAAAGAAAACTTGGTCAAACAGAAATAACCCGTTCATCAGTGAATCATATATAAACATCAGAAACAAATATAAAATCATTAATTGCTACAAGATGTGCCTAATACTTAACAGATTAAGTTTTATGTTAATCTGACGTGTCAAATCGTGTTTCAGATTTTACTCCTGGGTGTAATAAAAATCATCCTATAAATATTAACCCCCGGGCTTATTCATGTAAGGTTGTGCAATGAGGTTAAATCACTTTTTTTCCTAAAAAAAAGTGATAACATCCAGTTTACCTACAATTATTTCGATGGAGACTTCTTTCGATAGACAAGTGTTTCAACTTTTAATATAACGTAACTTTAATTAACTAAAGACTTGATAACATGTATTTTTATTTCGGTCATCTCATTTTATTGAGGCAACCTTAGAGCACATCAATCAATGCAATTTTTAAAACCTGAACCTATATACACGTATGATTGATGTAATATTTTGAAGTTTATTTCGACAATATTGTGTCAAAGTCGTTCATCTCTCTTACCACTGAGCCTGCCGTGGAATCGCCGACCACAAATCTATTTCCAGCGCCGTCTGCGGCTGCGAAAGAAAAAAACAATGTTCAAAAAATTATTAAAACCTTTAAAAAAGGATAATTGTAGTCCTCTCTGATTAAAATGAAATATATTTATAATGCATCCCTGAAAACTGTAAAGGTAAAGCATTGAGTGTGAGATTGATATTTTGACTTTCCGTTTTTGACCTTCAAAATTTTAAAAGTTTTATATAAAGTTTAAATATTTGAATCAAACATTCATATTTGACATGATTTTTTTCATGAAAATTGTACTCAGATATGAGATTATGACTTTTAATATAAGTAGAGCTAAACTAGTGGACCAAAGAGAAAAAAAAAAGTTTCGATTTCTTTCAAGCAAATAGATAATTCATTCATTTTTATCCCCCTTTATATCCTTTGAAATAAATTTCACGTTAAGAAAACTGATAATGTCTAAATAACTTACCTACAACTGCGTAGCCATCTTTAATGGAGGCCGGAAATGGGGGAAGTGGATCAACAGCAAAAACGTCCTCGGCAAGAAATCTCCCCAAACACTCTGGAAAAAATAAATAAACGAAATCATACAGAAATCTCCCAATAATACTCTCTAACATACAGATCGAATTAATTACAAAAATCTCCACCCCCACCCTCAACACTCTGCCATTCAAACGATTTGAAAAATACAGAAAGAAAATCTGACCCCCCCCCCCAACACTCTGCCACCCAAACACTCTGTAACATGCAGAACAAAAAATGTAAAACACACCAAAATTACTATAGAAATTTTTCCTAACAATCTGAAGTATATAGAACAAAATACTAAAAAGTACATTGTATATTTCAGAACGAACTCCCTAGCAATGTTAAGAGAGAGGTTGAGAAATATCCGTTAAAGTAAAAATCCTCTCGCCCCTTTTTTTTTTTACTTCATCAGTGCTCGGAAAGAGATTCAATTAATTTCGTAAAAAGCAAAATAGTTCCTGTTATATCCTTTTAAAACCCATCAAAATTATAAAAGCTGATTTAAAAAATGCCCGCCACTTTCAATTTCTTAATTCTACAAAATGAGGATGCAGAAAGTAAACAGTTAGAGCCAGGATTTAAAGCGAAGATAGCATTGAATTCCAACGTCATCCAAAGTCATCAAAACTTTACTAGATACATTTTCTAAAGGTATCAAGAAATGAGTCGAATACATGTAGATTATTATAAAACATTCTTTTCGAAAATACATTTCGTTGCTTACAATAGATACGAATAAACTTCCCATGCATTTGAATATCACGATAGTAATATAACTTTTTATTAAACAAGCTTTATGCAAGCCATTACTCTCAGAACAATAGCACAAAGAGAATATCAGCCCGTCATTCAATATTTTCTGCTGACTACTATTGTAATATAGTTACTTAGAGAAGAAATAATGCAAATGATTCCTTAAAATATCGCAATCAGATTGAGAGGGATGGGTTCCAGCAAGGAGTCTTAGTTTAAATCAGTGCAATACAGGACGCAGAGAAATCGCTTTATAAATAGAGTGATCTTTAATATGATTTACACAAACAAAATATCATTAAGATATTATCAAACCTTTTTACAGCATTTCCTAAAATACAACGCGTTTGAAGTGTTTTTATTGGGAACATCTGTAATTGATTTCAATATCATTACAGACTGGCAAAAGAAGGAACGAAAATAAAACAAATGTTTGCACTGGGATGGAACTCTCTCTCTCTCTCTCATATGTACATGTACGTTATAGTTATAGAATGAAACATATGGAGATAACAAAAAGTATCTAAGTTTTAAAGTCCATTACACAATACAAAATTACATTCTCATTAATATACATTTATATACACATGTTTTCGAAAACTGAACCTCTAAATCCGACTTCCTCTGAAGGCAACGAATGCGCATGCTCCATGACAATGGTAAGTGCATCTTCGACAGAAATCATAGGATAAGTAGACTTTCGGGGTCGGTAGGCAACTTTATCCCCTGAAAGAAAAAACAAACAAAATAATAAGACACACAAATAATGTCAAACAACTATAAGACTTACCGCCAAATGATTCATAATCTATTAATTTCACATCTCAAATCTATGTTGTTACCATGGTGATGATGACTATGATGAGAGTGATGTCGGTTGCCATGTTGATGGTCACCATGGTGATGATGGCCGTGTATTTGGTTTCCATGGTGATGGATTTCGTGTTGTTTATCACCATGGTGATGAGTGTGATCTCCGTGTTTTCTACTTTCAGGAAAGTCGTGATGATGACAGGTGTGCTGCCCGTGATCTTTTTGTGCAGCATGGCCGGATTTAAACTGTAACGACACATTTAATGTTCATTATGTATTTTTTTTTAATATATAATTAGATCATAACTTTTCAACTGAATTACAAATACTACTCATGATACATGTACATACTGTTAAGTACAAGATGCAAGATATTTTATTGACCAATCAAGGGCCCCGATGGACATTTCAACATACATAAATGTACAATTTAAACATTCTTTTTCTTTTTTTATTAACAATATAATTTTTTAAAACAGTTATATAAATGACCAAGCTACATATTATACATTGGTTCTTTTACCATTTTCAGAATAAATTTTTTAAGTACATGTATCTGATACTTTATGTTGCGATGGAAAATTTTCAAAGGTAATCCTTTTCAACTGACAATTTCTAAAGGAATTTTGGTAATGAATAGTATTAGAGATATCTTTGTCAATTTTTAAGTTTAATATTATGCGTTGGGGTCGAGAAATCCGAGGCGTATACTGTTTTTGTCCTGTCTGTTTGTCTGTTTATCTGTCTGTCTGCTGTCAACTTTAACCTTCGCCATAACTTTTAAACCCTGGAAAATAGAGACTTCATATTTGGTATGCATACATGTACTCCAGCTAATAAGGTTCTTTCAAAAGGCACCAAGGTCCATGACCTTGTGACCTTCACTGTGACCTACACGCTAAAAGTAGTTTTTTTTCGAACTTTTGCCATTACTTTCGAACCATGAGATTGAGATTTCATATTTGGTATACATACTCCACTAATTAAGCTCTTACAAATGCTACCAAGGTCAATGACCTTGTGGCCTTGGCTGTGATCTGTATGCTGAAAATAGTTTTTTTTCGAACTTTCGCCATAACGTTTGAACCATAGTAGATAAAAACTTTATATTTAGCATGCATACTCCACTAATATATTTCTTTCAAATGACATCAAGGTCAACGACATTGTGACCTTGACTGTGAACTATCTGCTAAAAATAGCTTTTTTACACTTTCACCATAACTTTTGAACCATACGAGATAGAGACTTCATATTTGGTATTCATACCATACTCCACTAATAAAGTTCTTTCAAATGACACTAAGGCCAATGAACTTGTGACCTTGACTGTGACCTATACGCTAAAAATAGTTTTCTGGAACTTTTTTGCCGCCAGGCGCATAGTGTTTCACAAACACACATTTGTTTTCTCTCATTTTTGTGCCCTTGAATTTTTTTTTATAAACTTTATGATTTCACATATAATAGAAACATCAGAATTCCTTTAATACATTTGATTTCTAGGTCAAATGGTTGGTTGACCAATTACTGCATGTACTTTGGATATTTACTTGACATTACCTTTCTACTGTAGTAGAAAAAATTTTTTAAAAAAATTTAAGTCAACACAAAATTATTTTTATCAAAGAAATATTTGAAGAAAATTTAAATCAAAAACAATGATAATAAAATAACAATGGACAAAAATAAAATGTATTTAATGGATTCTGCATAAAATACTGATGAAATTTAAAATATCTGTCATATATTTAGATATAAGTCTATTAAAATTTATAATTTGTTTTTATACATATGTCTTTATATTAAGAAATAATCTCTGATCAAATGTCAAATGTGATTGAAATTTTTCTAATTATTTTATGATCGTTTATGTCAGACGTCTACTATTTTTATAGATTGCATTGGTTACCCAGTTCTTATATCAGACGTCTGTAAGACGATCATACTTTTTTCTCTCTCTCCCCCCCCAACCCTCCCAAGTTTAAAATTCAGACACCTTACAATTTATTTTTCATAAAGTGACCCATTTTTTCCTATCATAAACACGTTGATTTCCAGGATTTGTGAAGCAATATAATACAAACCTGCAAATGATAATACGAACTCAAACTTAAGCCCGAAGTCGCTCCTATTCTTTTTTAATTGTTTTTTTCTTTAGGCAAAATAAATTACCACTCTCATAAAACAGACATCTCTAAAATAATGTGTTAATCATAAGAAAATATTGTCCTAATTCTGTAAACGTCTTGCTTTTCTTTTTAAGAAAAAATAATACACTATTTTATGACCCCTGGTTTGAGGCAAATTATTCTTGCATGTTTTACAAAACATAAATGAGAATTAATATCAAAGTATAACATCTGTTAGAATATTAAGTGTCTGATAATTTCTTGAAGAAAGATTGGGAATTCCATTTTCCATTGCTCCCCAATCATGAATTTTATTGATGATTTGATTCATGTTTTTTTTTTTTTTGGTTTTTTTATTTAGTAATCAGTATAAATGGAGTGGAGAGGAATCTCAGTCTTTAAAATTTAAGAATGACACACCGAATAAACTTAAAACAAATTCAGTTCATAAAAAAACTTTAGTACTTAAATATGCGTTTCACCAAAATGTGTTCTATAGGGATGATGCGGATGAGAAATGGGTATCCTCAAGCGTAACGATTAATTATTGTAAGGTAGATTGTGTGTTGTTTTACGTCCAAACGAGAATTTCTCTCTCATACAGTGACTGACCCAGTCGATTAAAAATGGGTAGCACCTGTACCTTCGCCATGCGCTCGGCACTTTGAAGTGAAAGTTGCGGGTCCTTCGGATGAGACCTTAAAAACTGAGGCCCCGTGTCAGCGGCAGACGTTGGCACGATAAAGATCCTTCACTGCTCAGTGGCCCTGAGTGCCGAGTAAAAGTCAAAATTTGATGCCCTTCACCCACATAAGGTGACGTCTCCATATAAGTGAAATATTCTCGAGTGGGACGTTAAACAATATACAATCAATCAATCAATCAATCTCTCATACAGAGAAGTTACCAGATACTGTGGAGGGATTCAGATTTACACCTACCTCTATACTCGGGACTCAGATATCTAAAATTACGTTTTATTTTAAATGGAGGAAATCTAGAAGAAACTAAAGCCTTTAAAGAGGCTGGGGGGTGGCAGCCATTTTCAGACTATTTCGATCTCCTTTAAAAGAAGAGCTCCATATAAAGATATTCAAAAATGATCAAATTTTAAAGCTAAAATGTATGGTTTTTTTCTTTGCTAAATGATAGTTAACAGCTTAAGATACCGTACCTAAAAAATTAGTTAAATCTGGTGGTTAATTTGTGATTAATTTGTTGACCCTCGAGACTCCTTAAGGTGTAAAGATTGTGTTGTCTCTGTATACATTAAATCTACCGCGTACATCTTAATTATCAATTCTTGGAATTTTTTATCACGTATTTTTATAAAGATGAAAATAACGAACAATGCCACTAATCGTGTAAAAATACCAAACAAAAACAAGGCAAAAGCACGTATACCCCTAGAAACGCTTGAGAAGGGATCAGGTGCCCTGGAGGAGCGAGGTTCCCGAATTGATTGGTCACTCACACGCCGTGAATTTGAATTCAATTCTATTTTCCAACCGGAGTTATTTGTCAAGTACTTTTAGAATTAAGTCAGATGTTGTAGACATATTGGAAAACGAAAAATAAAATATGTCAAACAGTAGACTAGAGAAGCATAAAGCTTAAACTCCCTAAAGCATTAGGTTAACCAATATCTTATCAATCCGAAAACTCTCTATATTTTTTTTTTTCAATTTATTTGCAATACTGTGCAAACCGAAAAAAAAGAGTATCTTTAACTTGCTTATTATAAGAACTGATGCTTTGATAGATTTTTTTTTTGGGGGGGGGGGTTAACACAGTTATTGATCTGATCTACATTTTTCGCCGTAATAATTGTACTTGAAATTAAAACTTCTAAACTAAACCGCCTATTCCACCATATGGAATTCTTTTGGCGACATTTAAACTAGTCCTTTGAGTAAAATTTATACAAGTACACAAAATGTAATTATCATATTGCTGTATGCATGTATTATCCTTTCGACATTGTACTTCATCTGAACGAAAAGGTTGGGGGTGGGGGGCTAAAGTTTTTAAGCTCTGTTTCTATTCTATTTTTACATTGAATAAAATCTAATTCAGGTTTACACACTGCAAATTATTTATCAATGGACTCGTTGCGAAAATAATGAATGTAGCCCCTGATCATGATAAATTGACTTTCAAAGTTATTTTTCGAGACTGCCATAAACAAATGACAAACGCAATTAGCTATAAATATGACCATTGCCTGATCTCATTTAAAATTACAATGAAAGAAGAGCAGGAGGGGGCAATAAGACCGAGACACGCGAAATCTCCATACGCTGGTAGTGGGTTCATCGGGTGCAGTCTACAGAGAAGAAAACAAGACGGGAGTCCCCAGAGACCAATTCCTAAAAAGCTAAAGGTCGTAAAGGAATCTTACACAATGTCTGTATAAATTACGTCATCAGTGAACGGTAAGCTAGAGCTGCATCTCATCTAAAAGTAACGAAAAGACATCGTTTTTTGCGTTTATTTGCATATTAAAATCCTAACAACAAATTTTGCCGATTATTATTATTTGAATATTAATTTACTACATTAGGGTGTTTGGTTTTGATAAAATTCTCTACAAACAACAGTGATTCTGCTTTTTTAGGGATCTGCAAAAATATTTTCCTTAAAAATTGTATTAAAGTTTATCTTTTTATATTTAAATTTTCCCGCCTCAAGGGAAATCAATCTTGAAAAATATATATTTATTCACTACGGGACATGGAGACTAGTCCTTCGTCGCAGATCGTTTTTATGAAACGAGGCCCCGTGTTGTAGAAGGCGCGGGCACGAAAGAATGGCCTTGAGTACTGAGTATATAGGTCAAACAAAATGCAGCCCTCCGCCGGCAAAAAATCCATATGAGTGAAAAAAAAATGAGAGGGGCGTTAGAGAACAAATACAATCAATTCTGCTAGATTCAGTCACTGGTTTGTAAGAGCAATTATACTGTAGCAGATTAAGGTAAAATATGTGTATACATGCAGGGCCTTTCAAAAGATCAAACCGTTCACGGTAGCTCGGTAGATAGAGCGTTCGCTCCATGATCGGAAGGTTGCGAGTACGAATCTCGGCCGCGACAGACCTTAGTGGATAAGCAACTCTTCCTCCGCCATGCGCTCGGCACCTTAAAGTGAAAGTTGCGGGTCCTTCGAATGAGACCATGAAACCGCGGCCCCGTATCATGACGGACGTTAGCATGATAAAGATGTCTCACTGCTCAATGACCCTGAGTGTCGAGTAAAGGACAAAATTTGAAGCCCTTCACCGGTAAATTATGACGTCCATTATTGAGTAGAGGTGACGGGACGTAAAACAACATACAATCAAACAACCAATCAAAAGCTAGACCAATTTAAAAGGATTAATTTTGTGAATTTAAGTGATTCTATTATAATATGCAATTTTATAGAAGATTGAAAGAAAAATTTCCATGGCTCTGGCGTAAAAACCAAGAGGCTTCAATTGAAGTCTATAACTGGTCTATAAAATTTTAAAAGTAGATTATTTTTTAAAACTGAATAAAATATTTTTATTTAGACGTTGAATACATGATTTTTGGTCTACATAAATTTACATGGTTTAGCAATGTTAAAAATTACGAATTTAACTTTATCAACGACAGAAGAAAATTGGACTGCAAGTCACCATGATCAATAATACGTTATTATTTGACGGATGAAAAAAAGCTAGATTAACGTTCTATTGAGAGAAAAAAACGCACAAAATGAAGAACATTTCCTCGGGGGCATTTTTGCTTTTATTGCACCTAATAGATTCTTGCGCATAAGTCAGTATAATTTTTAATGAATGAACAATATCTTCGGCTCTGAAGGGTTTATGAAACCGACAAATAAATGCCATGGAAATATTTTTCGGCTAGAACAGTAATGAGAAATTGCATAACATAGAAGCGATTTTCAACCGTTGTTTTCTTCTTGCATTATTCCCCCGAGTTGCAGTCGCGCCGTTTGGCGACAATTTTTATTGGGTGTGGGAAACACGAATGACCTTTTCCATGTTAATATAATAAATGACTTTGTTGTTCTTGAGCAGAATAATTTAAAGATATTCTTTTGTAAACATTTTATTCCCCATCTTGGCACGACCCTATCCCAAGGGGGGTCATAATTTTGAACAAACATGAATCTACAGTAACACTACATGTATATGAGTATGCGGCGAAGCAAACAATATCACTCGCTTTATAACATATATTTTTAAAAAAACTACACTACCCCAGAAGAAAATACAAATTTTAATCTAATCTGCATCATTTTGTAATGCGCTTACAATTGTTCATTTACAGGCAATGATTTTCTTCTCCGATTTACGATGAGTAAGCACGATATTTTTTAATTAGAAAAACCAATATTTTTTACCTCTATACTTAAATTTCTCCGATGTGGGTTGCAAATGCGGAAGTTTTCTAACTAAAATTTCCTTTTTCTTTTCTTTTTAATTATGTTACGCTATCAGCGGTGATTTAATGCTATATAGGAAAGAAAAAAAAATAACCTAATATACTTAAACAGTGTATCACATTTTAAATAAGGTTCAGCAGACCCATATTTGCATTTTTCTCAAACCATAGCAAAGAAAAAAAAAAAACTGCTGAACGCATACAACACCCTGGGCTTTACAGAAAAGGAAAGAAAATGGTAATTTACATTCACAATGCTAACAATTTTACCATGCCTTGCAATATATGACAGAAGTGATCTTTTAAAATTGACATTTATAAGCTTTAAGGCCAAAACGATTTTTTTTTTGCTCGTCAGACCCGCGTGCTCTCTATTTAAGCAATAAGAGCTTAAATTACCCCAACCCGGGAAAATATGTGTGCTTATTTCTTTTCTATCCCCCATATCTTCGTATTTTGAATCTGTCTATTCTACTATTAAGAAAAAAGTTGATACATAATTGTCCGCTAAAATTTTCCATGTGTCCGCCTAAAAAGTGTGCCTTCGAAAAAAAAAAAAAAAGGATGAATAATATGTAAGAGTCGTCCACCGACTCGTACAAGAAATAAAATATTGGTGTGGCCTAAACGAAAAATATTATTTTTCTCAATAGGAGTTATCTCTCTTATCAGGGGGACAGTGAACCTTAATGACACAGATATTCCCAATGGAAGTATCAAATTGTAAATGTAATTTTAATTAAAATACATGTGTACAATAAATAAAATGCTGTATCCTTCAACTGCTGATCCGCAACTCTCAGTTCTATGATGATAGTAAATATTCAAATTCAATTTTAAAATTGAATATTTTTTCTTTCAATTTAATTGATTGCCTAATCTTGGTTTCTGTGAGCATTAATTTAAATATAAACAACTCATTGTGTTTTTAAATATTTTTAATTAATTTAATGCAAATTAATAAAATTAGAAAATAATTGCATACATTGTTGTTAAAACACCGGTATAGATTTGAACATAATATACATTTTTTCTTGTAAAATCACATACATTTTTAAGGCCCATTTTTCAGGGTTTGAAGAAAAAACATAATTATTGGGTTTGTGGGTAATTTAATTTAGTGAATGATGAATTATTGAGTTGTTTTATACGTGAAATATTACATTTCGTGGAGGATATATTTCTGTGAATCTCTTCATATCTTAAAACCCTGAAAATTAAATGCCACAAAAACTAGATGATTATACGGTGTAAGAGTTTTGGCAATATCAGGATCGTAAAACATCAATACTGATTCATACATGTATTTACAATATCAGTAACATAATATGTGAATCATTAACACCCCCTACAGATCACAGACTATGGAACGCCACAACTGTCTTAAGGGTACAAAATATACATCATGGTGTCAAATCGATATAACATTAAGTCTACCTTTTATATCATTAAGTCTGTTTTATATATTATGTAGTACAAAAAACACATCATAACGTCAATTTAATATAACATTTAGTCTATACTTTATATCATTAAGTCCTTTTTAAATAACATGTAGTCTATTTTTTATATCATTAAGTCCAATTTATATAACATGTTGTACAGAAGTTATAATATGCTGTCAAATTAAAATAACACATAGTCGGATAAGTATAACAATAAGTCAATTCTTTATGCAAGTCTATCTTTTACTGTCACTAAGTCCTTTTTATATAATATGTTGTCCATTCTTTATATCATTAAGTCCAATTTATATAACATGTAGTTCATTCTTTATATCATTAAGTCCAATATTTATAACATGTAGTTCATTCTTTATATCATTAAGTCCAATTTATATAACATGTAGTCTATTTTTTATATCATTAAGTCCAATTTATAAAACATGTAGTCTATTTTTTATATCATTAAGTCCAGTTTATATAACATGTAGTTCATTCTTTATATCATTAAGTCCAATTTATATAACATGTAGTCTATTTTTTATATCATTAAGTCCAATTTATATAACATGTAGTTCATCCTTTATATCATTAAGTCCAATTTATATAACATGTAGTCTATTTTTTATATCATTAAGTTCAATTTATAAAACATGTAGTCTATTCCTTATATCATTAAGTCCAATTTAAATAACATGTAGTCTATTTTTTATATCATTAAGTCCAATTTATATAACATGTAATACAGAAGTTTTTTTAGGCCATCAAATTAAAATACTTAATACATCTCCAAATAACATGCAGCCAAAAGCTTATTTCTTTTAGTCAAAACTTAACATCACTACGTCGGTTTCGTACAATATGTAGTCTAAAAGTATTTGTTTTTTGTGAAATCAACGTATAATAGGTTATTGTATACTTCATACAGTTTTATATTAACAGGATACTCGAATACGTTTTGTTAAGTCACTTTCAGGCAATATGTAGATCAATTTCCCGCTAAAAAATGCAAACACATGTGTATGACTTTGTTCATTTGAAAACAGTAAAAGGCAAGTTTTGGTGAAATGGACGAAATCCTGAGAAGACTGGGTCTGGAAGACCATGTAGTGAGTTTTCAAGAGCAAAATATTTCTCCTGATATTGTGGGTTTACTGTCATCCCAGGAAATGCATTGTCTTGGTATTAACAACAAAGCAGATATGGTTAAACTCCGAAATGAATGCATCACCTATGGTTTTCACACACCCGAGCGGAAGCATATTGGTAGTGGTACAACAGAATTTGTGATACCAGAAAGTATATTGCAAAACCTGAGTAATGATGGGTTTTCTATAGCAGAAATTGCTAGACTTCTTTCTATATCTGAAAGTACTGTATATCGCAGAATGCGAAAATTTGGAATATCAAAACAAAATTTTTCAGAAATGGACGATGATGAACTAGACGTACATGTTAGTAAGGCATCTGAAAATTTTCCGCACTGTGGAGAGAACATTTTGGGTCAAATACTAAAACAAAAATCTGTTAATGTACAGCGATGGAGACTTAGAGAAAGCCTACATCGTGTCAACGCAGTAGGTGTAAGGGACAGAAGAAAAGGCCGTTTAAAGCGTAGAGTGTATGATGTGAAAGGGCCTAACCATCTGTGGCATGTTGATACTAACCATAAACTTATTCGTTGGCATTTAGTCATCGCTGGGGGCATAGATGGGTTTAGCCGAATGGTTATTTACTTGAGATGTCTGGACAATAATAAAGCCGATACTCTTTTAGAATGCTTTCGTGATGGCGTTTCTCGTTTTGGACTACCAGTTAGAGTACGTTCAGACAAAGGTTTGGAAAATTCAGCTATAGCAGATTACATGATCTCTAACAGAGGGCTGGGTAAAGGAAGCATGCTAACGGGAAAAAGTGTACATAACCAGAGAATTGAACGTCTCTGGAGAGACGTTTATACCGGTGTCCTTGCTTTCTTCTATAAATTATTCTATCACATGGAGGACAACGAAATATTAGATCCACTGGACGATCTACATATTGCAGCTCTCCATTATGTATTTGTTCCACAAATAAACGAGAAGCTGAAAATCTGGGAAAAGGCCTGGGCTACACACAGAATGAGAACAACAAAATCATCCCCACATTGTTTATGGGTTGCAGGACAAATTCAAAATCCTACAGGTATAGATTTTGTTGATGTCAATTATGGAACAGAAGGATTTCTTCTGGAAGCTGACAACAATGATGAAAACGTTAACGAGAGACCGATAATTCCTTCTATATCTAGTGCCATCATCACCGCAGGGTGCAAGCAACAGTTGGATAATGAAGTCCAAATATCAGAGAACTCTTCAAATTTTTTGATTGAAATGTACACAAAATCTCTCCAAATTATAAAGAATCATCAGGAAATTAACCATATTCAATAAACCTTTTATGCAAAGCTAACGGGTTCAAATTTTTAACTCTGTAATTCGATATGTACATACGTGCAAGGGGTGATCAAAAAGTTCGCGAACTAAATGAATAACTTCCGTAAGGGAAACAATATTTGATTTCAGTGTTGATTATATTTAAATTTAAATTAATCCTCTCCGATTTTAATGCACATCGGTCACCGTTCTGCTCTTGAGCGAATTACGTCATATAGGCGACCACATGACCGCCTCCGTAGCGTTTTGTCACAAAAGTTGAAAGATTTTCCGAGTTTTATAATTCTTTCAATGCAAGTTAATTTTTATAACAAGAAGAGTTTTTTGTCAAAAATGGCCATATCTCGGCAACAGAATGGGTGGATAAGAATATCCTTTCCAAAAATAAGCATGGCGATCATCAAAACCCAAATTTTTTGACTCGGGAGAGACGTTTATTTGAGGTAGACAGAGAATGGGTGCCTCCTTTTATCATATCTATTAATATGTTTAAAATCTAAAGTAAACAATATGTTAGGTACTAGTAAATGATATTAATGTTATTGTAGAAATATTCAACTATTTTTCAAAGTGTAGATTTGAGGTCAGAGTTGGAATTTTGAACCCGTTGGCTTTCCATTTATTCCAACCAGTGTACAAAATAAAACATTTTCTGAGATTTTATTCATTTTTAAAGACAAATCAGTGGTTTGAAATTAATTTGTGCTTGCAATATAATGTAAAAAAAAAAAAAAAAGCGTAATCAAAAAAAAAAAAATCATAAAATTTAATATATTATCTGTATGTAATTACAAACATAGAATATTCTACATAACATGAAATGAAACTTTTTAACAAGACAATTTAACATGAAATGTGCAGACAAATATGAACATTGGGTCCATAACAAGAAGCTTATGGCCTAAACAGTCACCCAAACATAATACATTCCAGACAGGCAGTGCATGATCCATAGAATAACTAGTACATTAAATGCACAGTAGTTTATTGTTATGATGCAATGATAGGAAGATAAATGATCTGAACATTATTCTGGATAATGTAAAATTTTGGTAGGGGTGTGGGGTAGGATTAAAAATAATAGAAATTGATGTCAATAAGAGTTATCTATCTAATCAGAGTATCGATGAAACTTAAAATTCAGCAAAATACAAATAAAAATGAGGTCAGGGTCACAGGTAAGTAAAAGGTCAAAAGTTTTTGATTCAGTTGAATGCCTCTCATCAATACTCAGTATCTATGAAATTTGATAAAAATATCTTGAATATTTTCTTTGCAACTGAACTTTGAAATGAGCTTAACGCAAAGCACGATGAAAAGTTTTTGACGGACACACATAAACAAATGACAACTTACAACAAGAGCAGCCCGAGTGACTCGGGTGACCAAAGAATGGATGTTTTGATTACATTTCACAAAATGTTGAATATCTCATACCTAGTGACTAAAGTACAAAATCAAAATCACTTTTTTTCATAATTAAAATAGATATGAATTCAAATATATGTAGTTGCATACCAAAATGAAAATCTCCCCTAGATAATGGTTAAAAAATCAAATGCATACTATAATTTCAATGCATCAGAATGTAATTCTACACAAACCAAGTACCAGTAAATACATGTACACTTTCTATAAAAAATAACAAGATTTAAATTCAGTGAATTTATGTCCCATTTTGAACATGGTAGCCTGTCAAAGATTTTCAAAACAGCAGGTGGAGATAGCATGAAAAATGAATTTACTCATTGTTTTTGCAGTAGCCATGAAAAAAGGTATTTCAATATAAGACTAGTAAAAAGCAAGTGTAGTAATGCACAAGATGAAATTGTCATAGGATGGTAGTCCATTGTACCATCCTTTTAAAAGACATACAAATGTAATTATATGGTGGAGGCTAGTGCTTTACCACTTTGACAGAATTTTTAATGCATTCAGTGCTTTACCACTTTGACAGAATTTTTGAGTTTGTGACATTGGCTTTAAATCTTTTAGCATCAGAATAAAAAGATTTCATACAATAACTTAATTACATGCAAAACCTCATAAAGTTTTGATATGACATGAAAACAGAAGAAATTCAGATACCATGTAATAAAAAAAAATATGATAAATTGTTTAAGTCTGCAAAACTACATGGTCTGTGACTCAAAAGTACATATATATGTCTAAAATCAACATTACATGTTACAAAATTATGGTTTATGTCATACATGTAACATCAGCATAATAGGGGTATATGAGGCTATGAAGAATACCATGTCAAACATGCAATACCATTTCGAACATGCTATACCATGAAGAATACCATGTCAATGGCTATTGATCTTAAACTGAAAACGAGGCTACCTAGCTAAATGTAGCATAATTCATGTAAAAATGAGACACCCAAAGGGAATTTAATTTATATCATAATTAATAATAATAATAAAATTTTAACGTATTTTTCAATTTAGTGGTCATACCTTTTAAAATATGATTTTTTTTTACTTAAAAGCCTTGTTAACATAGCCTAACAATGAAAGCTGAGCTTTTCACTTGACACTCAAATTTTGGTTTAGCATCGGTAATACATGCATGTATTGTAAAGTACCTCTGAACATAAAGCATATACCCATTGTTAAAACTGAAAATGGAAAAAAAAAACAAATTTGGAAAAATTTTACAACAATCTCAACATTACTAAAAATGGATTGGTTTTACTTCAGTACATTGTATATTATTATCAATTCTTGAACCTTGACAAAATGTCTCTGGTTGAAAATTGTAATCAAACTGTAATCAATCACATATATACATTTGTTTAAAGAAACCCTTCAGACTGTCTGAACTTTTTATTTTTTGACTTACTGACCATATAGTAGATGATATTTCTACAAATTTGGAGACAAATTTAAAACAAGAGGCCCATGAACCAGACAAAAACTGTTTTTGCAAGGTAATAATTAATGAATGGCTTGCAATAAAAATTGGTAAAAAATTACCGCAAACCATAATAAGAATTTAAGAATGCGTAATCATACAAAGCAAACAGCTCTTTATCTTCTGGAAGATTTGTATCAATGCTTGGCTTTGGTCGTGGTAGTTGGAGAGAGTTGATACATGTGTTTGCTGTTGGAATAAATGAATTAATTACTTCTGGAAACTGAATAGTAGGTGGTATTTGAAACCCTAAGACTGGCTCTTCTTCAGCTCCAGTTACAAATTGTAAAATGTTCCCTATGGATAAGTGTTCTCTTCGACCACCTGCAAAAAATTAAATAACATTGGGATTTATCATACTTGTACATGTATATTGTTGCTCATAGAAAAATTAAAATCAAATTTATCCTTTTCACTTCACAGAATTTGCTTCTTATAAAAGCATGAAGTTTTTGCAAAAAAAAAAATTCAAAACACATTCATTATTCTCCATTTGTGCAGTCCGTTCATTTGCAATTCCCCCAGTGGTTTATTAAATTTATCTATGTAATTTATGTTATAGATATGCCCCAAGATGCACCAACTGAAACAAGAGGCCCATGGACCACATCGCTCATCTGAGCACAATTAGGCCAATTCAGTATTTTATGAGTGGTATCAACCAATCCCTAAAGGGAGGGGGCATGAACTGAACAAACTTAAATCTTATGACACTACCTGTGGATGCTTACATATAACTAGAAACTATAATTGTTTATGAAATTTGATCATAATTTCTTGAATAGTGATGCAGTTGAAGTGCTTAGCAGCTTACATAAGTATGTATCAGCATATGAAGTTTGACACTAATTTAGGTCATTTTAGGAAAAGTGAGTTCAAGGTCAAGGTAAAATGTTGAAATAGTTGAATAGCTCTCATCAGTATGTATCAACATACGAAATTTGATAAAAATATCTGAAATGATTTCTTTAAAACTGAGCTAAACACTAATTTATGACAAGAGGCCTATGGGCCACATCGCTCACATGAGAAGCTTTGCATGACAATGCTAGTGCTATTCTTAACCAGATTTTTTCCCTTGTGACCTACTGTGACCCATTGTACCCCACAGATCATAGTTTGGACAATTTAAAATCTACAATATCCCAGGATGCATTCATATAAATTTCAGCTATTCTGGCCCAGTGGTTCTTGAGAAGATTTTCAAAGATTTTCCCTACATATCTCTATGTTAAACTTTTATTCCCTATTGTGGCCCCGTCCAACACAGGAGGGGGGGGGGTCATGATTTGAACAATTCAGAATCTACTCTACCCCAGGATGCTTCCACATAAGTTTCAGCTTTTCTGGCCCAGTGGTTCTTGAGAAGATTTTTTAAAACATGCCACCAAATTTTCATAAATTCCCAATTATCTCCCTTTGAATGAGGGTGTGGCCCTTCAATCGTGAATCCCCTTCACTCAAGAATGCTTTGTGGCAAGTTTGGTTGAAATTGGCCCAGTGGTTCTTGAGAAGAAGTTGAAAATGTGAAAAGTTTACAGACAGACGGACGCAGGACAAAATGTAATCAGAAAAGCTCACTCGAGCCTTTTGAAAAATAAAATCCACCTGTCTCAAGCATGATCGATTTTGCAAATATGGATGAGAAACTAAATAAATATGATTTTTTGTGTGTCTAGAAATTTCTGTGTTTCTAATTTAATACAATTTTATGGACTTTAAATCTTACTTGCAACTTCTCGTAAATAACGGACAAATGCAGCATAAACTTTCTTCTCCACTTCAATGTTGTTGCTGCCCTCTAATGAAAACTGAGGTTTCAAAAGTGTTGTAAGCATCCTGAATGTCAATGGTGTAGAATGTCTTTGGAAAAGGTAAAGAAAACTTGGAAGCTGCATACCAATCTGGAAAAAATAAACAACAGATCAAAGATGTAAAAAAACGTACAACTTCACTTTTTAAAGTTTGTTTTACTGTCCTCCTTTTAGGGATTTACTATTATAACCAATTTTGTACAGAATTATGTTATTAACATTTTTCTCAAGTGACAAGAAATGTTTTAGAAACATCTATGCCCCTATGAGGCAATATTGGGTCAACTTTTTTTGATACAGCACTGAGCATTGTGTACTATGAGGATAAAAACATTGGCAATTTTGACCTTTTCAATTATTTGAGACTCAGAGCTTAGAATTATCAATAATATCTTGCTTGTGCATTTATTTTCTTGCAATATTTATTTTTCCTATAGTGCCACATTCTATGCATTTACCTAATTAAATATCAAAACATTGACGGTTTCTACGATATGTTATGTGATATGTCCTTTCTGTCATGTCTAGTCTTTAAAGATGATTGAAACTAAATAATTACCAGTACATTACCGTACATGACAATTAGAACTGTAAAATATTCTTATAAACTAGAAATCATGTATTACAGGAACTAATTTTATTTCAATAAGAATATTAATTAGTCATATGGAATAAAAGTTTGCTTCTGCTGGATTCATTAAAAAAAATTACTGTATACAATCCCAATGTCTCAAGTCCTTTTCTCAAACTTGTGATGCATGGATGGTCCATGGAATCAGAAAATATCTTCTGGATTATCTCTGGCTCTAGGAAAGTTGGAATTTGGCCATTTTGTAGAATACTTAAAGCTGAAATACAGCAAAAACATTTCCATCAACCTGCATTTTAACTTCAAAATCTACATATACATCCTGCATCATAATACTAGTACATAAAACATATAATTATGACACTTGTTCAGCTACAAGCATAAAGATTTCCCTCTATTTGTCACATTAATATTACCACTCTTCCTATTGGGAATCAATTATTTGAATTTATTCTGTTCTTGTTTTTTTTTTTTTTTTAATTTTAAGAATTGTCCAGATTAAATAATCTCTCCAGTGCAAAGTTCTTTTGTTAAACCAGATGTGTTGACACAAATGCCCCTGCAGGCAGACAGAATTTCAAATGCCATATTTCTAAATTTGTATGAAGGTTAAAAAGGATTATAAACTGTTAAAAATCATCAGACCAGGACAAAATTTAAACTTGACCTGCAAATTCCTATTCATATGTTACATTAAGTTTAATGTGTGCAACTGTTGCCATGGTGGGGGCATAAAAAATAAATTAGGATGCGAATTTACTTTAAATTACATGTACATATTTCAAAGTATGATATATATGGTACATTTAACTACAGTGAAGAGTATTGATTGTGTATTGTTTAAAGTCCCTCTCGAGAATTTTTCACTCAAATGGAGACGCCACCAATTGCCGGTGGTGAGCTGCAAATTTTGTCCTATACTCGGCACTCAGGGCAATTGAGCAGGGAGGGACCTTTTTAATGCCAGCACCTACTGCTACACGGGACTTCGTTTTATACAGTCTCATCCAAAGGACCGCTCTCCACAGCAGTGGGATTTGAACCTTCAACATAAGGATTGACTCCTTACTTTGCGACTCTACAGCAGATGATCTAACCACTGTGCCATGCGGTCATGGAAGTATGAACTATTTGGCTGATAGTAAATTGCCTGACACAGCTCTTTGCTTAAGGGCAACTAAAATTGACTAAAATTCTTCATAAAAAGTACCAAGTATTGAAGTATGCAAAGATGATGATTACAAGGTATACCGAGAGTCAAATTTAATAATTAATACAAACCAAAGGTCTTTCCGATAACTTCGTAATCTTCACAGATTAATTCTCGGAGTCCCTTATCAAAATATTTTTCTTTAATTGACTTTAACATTAAACGAAAGAACTCTTTCCGGGGTCCACCATAGTCTACAGCCGTCTGAAACAAACAGTAACACTGTATTTAATTACATAATTAAAAACAAGAGGCCCAGGGGCCACATCGCTCACCTGAGCACATCAGCTAGGAAAAAGCACATTATTCAGATCAGAAGTTCACTGAAGGGGGGGGGGGTCATGAGAGGGCTTGAATTCTAATACTACTTGAGAATGCATCCGTATCAATACTGCATATATATAACTTCTTGAGAAAAAGATTTTTAAAGATTGATCGGCCATTGTGGCCCCACCCTACCTATCTGAGGATGATCCAACATGAGTTTTATCTTTCTTGTCCCAATTGTTCTTGAGAAGAAGATTTCTAAAGATTTTTCCTATATATTTCTATGTAAAACTTTGATTAGCCATTGTAGCCCATCCTAACCCCTGGCCCAGAGGTCATGATTTGAACATTACTTGAATCTACACTACCTGAGGATGATTCAACAGAACATTTAAATGAGAAGAGTACTAGTCTGCTAAGTTAAAAATATCATTAAAAATGTAACATCTTCGGATTAACTCCTCTCAAAAATTGATTAGACTGATTCAGCGATTGTTTAGCAAGGTACTAAGTATTCCAGCAGCATTTTTTACTTATCTACCCTTATAAATTCTACAATGATCAATCTTGCATTGTATTCAATATCACCTGTGAAAGAGTTCCGCTAAGTTAAGTAATTGTGATATCAAGTATTCATTGTTACAGTAAGCATGCTTTTTACCTCATCTAGCTGACACCTGAACTGGGAGCATCAATTCACCTGTCTTGTATCAAATGTATCAAGACTTCTGAGCAAAGGCTTAGAACATTCTGTTCTACTTATATGCACAATATATTCCTGTAGTGGTTACCAATGAGGTTGGTGTCTAAAGCAGTGAGCTTAAATTACTCTAAAATCTTGTAATTTAATAATTTTGCTGTTCTCATTTACCATGTTTACTCCAGTCCATGAACCTGGGTGTAACATTAACTAGAGGTACTGTGAGCAATGAGCTCATTATTGATACCCCCACCTCCCATATGGTTATAACTGATGACAAAGTCCATGTTTTGCTGTGGCCGGGAAACCCAAAATATGAATCGGATCAAAAAGTAAAATAGGAGGTCACAATGGCAATACGTAATAAAGATTCTGTGAAAGTTTCATTAAATTTCCTTCAGTGGAATGAGAGGAGTTGTGGATAAAAGACGGGTACCCCAAAGCATAACAGACGGACGGACATACCGATTTCTATAAACAGTAATACTCTCCCACTTTTCAAGCAGGGGGTATAATAATTATATTCAGATAAACAATTTCTTCTTGCCTAAGGTGACCTTAAGTTAAGTGTTCAATTCAACAGGAGAAAATTTACTCATATGTGAAAGTTGAGTGTAACTGTGTCTAGTCTAGCCAACAAAATGCAAATTTAGCATTCAAAAGAATAAAAATACCTTTATGCCCCCCCCCCATTCCCCCGGACTAATCCAAATACATCTTTACTATTTTAAGGCCAGCAATAAATAAATTATATGTTTGATGTACTCCAGCTGACCTATCAAAATTGCCCCCGTTTTAAATATTTTTTTTTCATGTTTTTTTTTCTTGGGGGGGGGGGGGTTAAGGGAAACAGAGATTGTTTCAATTTAAAGAAGTTTTGTAATTTGAACATTCAAATTTTTTTTATAACTATATATATATTATAACTGTCTTATCCAGTATATCATGAAAGTTAACATCAATAAATCTGAAGTCTTATGACAATTTTCAAATTTTTATGGGCCCGGATCGATAGATCCGAGGCGTATATTGTTTTTGTCCTGTCTGTCTGTCTGTTTGTTTGTTTGTCCCCAAACTTTAACCTTCGCCATAACTTTTGAAGCATGAAAGGTAGAAACTTCATATTTGATATGCATACTTCACTAATGAGGTGCTTTCAATTGACACTAATATTCATGATCTTGTGACCTTGAATGTGACCTATATGCTAAAAATAGCTTTTCTGTCTGCAAACTTTAACCTTTGCCATAACTTTTGAACCATAAAAGATAGAGACTTCATATTTAGTATGCATACTACACAAATAAAGTTCTTTCAAATGACACCAAGGTCAATGACCTGGTGACCTTGACTGTGACCTATATGCTAAAAATAGTGGTTTTGTAACTTTCACCATAACTTTTGAACCATAAAAGATAGAGACTTCATATTTGGTGTGCATACTCCACTAATCAAGTTCTTTCCAATGACTTCAAGGTCAATGACCTGGTAACCTTGACTGTGACCTATGCAAGTATGCTTAAAATAGCCTTTTAGATTTTTGTTGCCACCGGGCGCATTGTGTTTCACAAACACATCTTGTTTGATACTGCAAAAAAAACCTGTCTACCTACCCACCTTGAGAAATATTAATGTGGGTTGGAGTACATCAAACAAAAGTATTTTTAATGATTGCCTAGCGCATTTAACAACACAATACACAACCATTAGTGCATTACCAACCTCATCATAAAATTGTACTTCTAGAGTTTTTCGGACATCACTGATTGCTTTGATTTCATCAAAACCAGTCTCCAACAGATGTGTTCTGTCAATTAAAATAAAGTTTGTATCACCCTCAGAATTCTGTGTTACATCAATCACTTCCAAAGGCCGTCCTGTGACCATTTCTTTCTGTACTTTGCGTAAAATTTCTACCGGATCTGCGATATTTTGTACCTTACAAAACTCAATAATTCTGCTGGTCACATCTGAAACTGTTTCAACATTTTGCACAGATACAGGCAAAACTTCAGTCACAGCTAGATCGCTGATGTGGTTACTTTCTACAGTGTTTTCTAACAACAATTCCTGGTCTTGAAAAATAACAACTTCCTCAACATGCATTTCCTGAGAGCTTGCTATGTTAGTCTGCATGGTTTGTGGAAGAATGTTAATATTCAAAATGTCTGTTGTTTGCACATCATTTTCTGTGTCAGCTTCCGAACATGTTTCTGTGTGTTTCCTCAGTTCTCGTAGCAAGAATTTCCTTCCACATGTTACACATTTCTCTTCTAAACTTGATTCACTAGACTTCTCATGAGGATGTTCTATAGAAGCAGTGGAAAGATCTTTTTGGATTGGCCTTATATAAATCGTTGATTGGGGATTAACATTTTTCTGCAGTTCTTTTGCTGACCATGCGCAGTTTATCAAAGTTAACTCTCTGTAATTTTGGGCACTTCTCAGTAGTTCAAAGCCACCCCCCTCAGCTAATTTTGGAAATCCTACAATTTCCCCTTCTTCATTTAATTCTTGCGAAATAAGTTTTGCTGCTAATTCATTTTCATCATCTGATTTTTTTAAAACAATTTTTTTCTTACCAAGTCCAGCTTTATTCAAAGTTTCTTTTTCCAATGCATTTGGAACAAATTTTTGGCCTGTATGTGCCAGACATAAAAAAATCATGGTTATAAACTTGTCTTTTTGGCGCATCTTTTTCCCGGCTTTAGTACCTGCAGTGCGAGAGTAAGGACTGAATAGTCGGGCTCGTTCGTTTCTGGTACTTATAGCGGTATGCTCTGTGACCGTTGTTTTCCCATGCACAAGTTTTTTTAACTTGTGGCGTAATCCGATCGTTTCAACGCCAAGTCTTTTCAGTTCTTCATCTGAGAGTACCTCTATCATCTCAATTGAAATGTTTTCTCTTTCAAAATTGGGATAGGCGCTCGGTATCCCTAGCTCCATCAGACATTCCCGCAGGCCATTCATCTTGCTTTTAGAACCGTTTTGGCGCGAAAATTTCCGAATGAACACATTCGGAACTCAACATAATGTAAGAGTTCGTCATAACGATACGCTGTACTGACTTAACGTTTTCACTTTTGGACACCATGCCATATTTTAATGACTTGATGATATATATTTTGACAATATCGCAGTTTATTTTGACTGTATATTATGAAGATCAGACAATGTAATACATTGTTTTGACATATTTTTGTGCCTTTTCACTACATATTGTATGAATAGTACTACATATTATATGAACTGCACTTAATTATATAAAGAACGGACAACATGTTATATAAATTGGACTTAATGATATAAAAAATAGACTACATGTTTTATAAATTGGACTTAATGATATAAAGAACGGACTACATATTATATAAAGTGAACTTAATGATATACAGAACGGACAACATGTTATATTAATTGGACTCAATGATATAAAGTATATACGGAATGGACTACATGTTATATTAATTGGACTTAATGATATAAATTGAAACTTTTTTGCAAATGAGGAAAGAATTTGGAAGAATGAATCTAGAACCGAGCGCACTTTTTTTTGCGCAATAAATATACAGTCTTTTTTTTATTGGGTGGCACTGTAGCTCTCCGGTCTATCAATATGTATATTTTTCGGAGAGCTACAGTTCTGCAGCTGTAATCATTGCAAACAATATCTCCACTTTGTAACTCTCTTGTTACAGAATAGACGTCCCTAACAATATGTTAGACATTATGTGGCAAAAAATAAAAGTGAAGTCTTTAGCTTGTTTAGATTCCAGATATCACTTTCACAATTACTTGAAACATTAGAATGCATATAAGTAAATCTGAAGAATCCATTACTGATATACTTCGAATAATGAACAGTACTGACCAGACGCAATTTGACAGAAAGCAGTCACAGAGCACTGCTTTCTGGGACTGCTTTCTGTCAGGTTGGGTCCGGTCAGTACTGTAATTGCAAATTTAAGCCCCCCTCCCAAAAAAAAAAAATGGGCATTCGGCTCGTCTTACATGTATCCCCTCCCAGGATTAAAAAAAAATCTTTTTCTCAAAAACAAATGGTCAAGATCAGCTGAAACTTACGAGAAAGTATCCTGGAGTGGTGAAGATTCTACATCTTCCAAATTATGAACCTTAATATTTTGTTGTCGTTTAAGACGATTAACCATGCAGTCCACTCTTCTCTTTTTACAACAAGTGCCCCTACAGATTCACAAAGTCCTACATCGTCTCAAGCCGTGGTTCGGAGTCCGCTCTCTCCTAGACGGCCAGACTGGGAGAGGATCATACATTTTGGCCGTGGTCTGCGACGATGTGTAGCCTATAGGACATCTTCTTGTGAAAATAGTTCTTTTATTTCATAAATTACAATACGATCCCTGAAAGCAATCATTTATTACATGTATCTTGAAATCAAAGGGGTAAAAACTATTTATTTTGAAATTTTCAATATTTTTCATGCAAAATGTTGTTTGAGCAAATTCATTAATTTTTTTTTATTCTTCAAGGTTTTTACACAGCTGTCAGATTTACACTAAAGGTGGCTGTGATCACTTCAGCTCACTAAATGATATACAAGTACATGTATACTAGTATCCCCACCTCCAATATAATTATATGGCAAAATCCATGTATTGTTCTCAGAGTGAACCCTCGGAGGGGTCCCTCGTATTATATTCTGAACCAGAAGTCTCTGTCGAGACTGTAGCTCTACTGGTTTGAATTTATAACAAAGGAGGAGAAAAAGAAGCCTTTGCCATCAGACCAAAACTGTAGAAGGAGTAGCTTTTTAAAGGAATTTCACAGGCATTTCTATTTTTAGTAACCATGGCAACACCGTTCATCAAAATCAAAATCTGATGCATTATTCTATGTATCTTAATGTAGACTACTTGTGTGCCAAGTTATATTGAAATCAGATCATAACTGTAGGAGGAATAGCATTTTAAAGGAATTTCACAGAAATTCTAAAATGTAGGAGGAGTAGCATTTTGAAAAATTGTTTACAGACAGACGGACAGACAGACAGACAGACGGACGACGGACACCTTACTATCGCATAAGCTTTTCTGGTCTCTGACCAGTAGAGCTAAAAATTAAGCTTTAGAGGATTTGTTGGAATGGACTGTGTGTCATGGACATATTCTTATCAAGAAACCGATGAACTTCTAATGGATTTAATGTTAATGCATGCGTTTTATTCAACAACGAATTACTATTTTATAAAAGTTTAAGAAATATTGAATTTTTAATTTTTAAAGACAAATTTGGTGTAGACAAATTTAAAAGATAAACCAAATGAATGCTCTTTAATATTAAATGCTTTTTTAGCGGACAGTATATAGGGAACTTATACTGCCTCGCTAATGAGTTAGCTTTTCAAGTGATGCGGTAGAGTTTCTCTCTATTTCAGGCAAGTTAAGCAGTGGCGAGTCTGTTTAACCCTTGGATGGGTGACCGCTTCACGTTACACTTTTGTCTAAATTCTCATGTAACTAGTTTGTTGGAGTGCACCAACACAGTTTTGTGGGGTGGGTGGGGTGTTTTTTTTGTTTGTTTGTGTTGCCATGACAACAGGTGCACAGCTATCCCCCCCCCCCGCACACACACTTTTATTACAAAGATAGACATAATATAGGCACTGAAAACTATGGCTGACCTTTTTTGTTGGTTAAGCCCCACCCCCTCCCCCCATGTTCAATATGCCCCTTTCAATCTGCCTCCTATGCGGGATAATGCCTATATACTTTGTCAGAATATTCCTTTAAATGTTATTGTTTGAAGGTTTTTTTTTAGATATAGAAGCTTTTCTCTTATCTTACTGTGATTTCCATGGTGACTCGTAATTTGAGTAAAAATTATAGTTTTGTTGGTCAAATATCATTTTCACATAACCATGTAAACAAGTGTAAAAGGTTTTTTAAAGTGGCAATAACTTGTTACCAATCCCTTTGTATGAAATATACAATAAAATAAAACAACAATCCTCTTCTATTTTATTTACAGATTTTTTCCTTAAATCTCCAATCTGGAATGCCAGGGACGTAGCATCCAGGGGGCGGGGGTGGGGGGTGGGGTGGCCCCTCACTTTTTTTCCCAACATAACCTTTACTATAGTAAATATTCATAGATGGGATGGTTCTCTCTCCCCCCCCCCCCCCCCCCCACTTCATAACCATAGTATAGTGAAAGCAAGGATTGTAAGGAAAAAATTTGAGGTGATAGTAAGTTGGCTTTAAAAAAGTTGCCCCCCACCCACCCCCCCCCGAAATAGGATTTTCGAGTTTAAGCAACTTTTATGTTTGTTTGTTTGTTTTTTTTTTTGCTTGTCAATTTTTCCAGGTAAGTGAACAAAAAATTTTTCTCAGGTTGCTCCCCACACTTCAAAAACGATGCTACTTGCCTGAATGCTAATTTAAGAATTTCAACAAGGTTCCAACTTTCAATTTTTTTTTAATTTTTTTCTTTTTTGCATTTTCATTAAGATTATTCTATTAGTATTTTATAACGCCTTGAAGACTACAAACGGAGATCAGAATTACTATGTTTATTAATGACTTGATTTCTTTTTTCCAACCATATGAATCAAAACGTTGTACATTTGTCTGATGTTAAACTAATAAAGGATAAATATTTCCATTTCTACATTTTTTCTCTGTGATAAATCTTTAAAAGTTACTGGAGTTAATTTCTTGATAATTCTACCAGAATATATATTAGGCAGGTCAGTATGTCATGAGCTAAAAGGCCTACTATGCTTGCAAATCTTGCGCGCATCTGTTTCTGAGTCTGACACTACACAGCAAACTTTTAACTCGAAAACAACTTATTTGGATATAAATAATTTGTTTCATTTTCTTCAAAAAATACAAAAATAAAAATCATATTAAATAATTAAGAGCTAATGTTGACCTTTCAATGCTGAAACCAATGTTTAAAAAGGTTGACTCAGAGACCTATAGAAAAAGTTGTGGCATTCCTTCTTAAATTAGAAACTTTTTTTCTATTTCAAAAATTAGATGCATATCAATTTAAAAGAATTTATAATATGAAATTCATTTAAAGTCTGTTAACGTTCTCTTTAATAGCCATTAGACTTTGAATTACAATCAGAACATTGTACATCTTGATCCAATTCAGCTTTGATACAAATAGGACCACGATATTGAGATACTGGTATATCACCACTTGACATTGGAGGACTGCAGATTTGAACTTCATTATATACTGGGCACCCAGTGCCTGGCCTGAAG